AAGTTTTGTTCAGTGAATGAATAAACATGAATTTTAGAATCATTCTGTTCTAAGTTCTTTGAAGAGTTCCTTTGGTGTTTTTATTGGAATTGCATTGAATTTTTATTTTATTTATTTATTTAAGTATGTTTTATTGATTTTTTAAAGAGAAGAAGAGAGAGGGCTAGAGAGTTAGAAACACCGATGAGAGAGAATCATCAATCAGCTGCCTTTTGCACACCCTCTACCGGGGATGTGCCTGCAACCAAGGTACATGCCCTTGACCGGAATAGAACCTGGGACCTTTCAGTCCACAGGCCAACACTCTATCAATTGAGCCAAACCGGTTTCGGCTGTATTGAATTTTTAAATTAATTTGGAAAGAATTGACATCTTTATAGTGGTAGTCATTGTTGAACACAATACAACTCATTTATTTGAGTCTTTTTGGGGTCTTTCATAGAATTTTATTGTTTTCTCCACAAAGGTCATATATTTCTAATTAATTTTAAATGGTGTTTTGTTTGTTTTATTACGTTTATAATTTTTTTATTGATCCTAGAGCGAGGAAAGGACAGAGGGAAGGAGAGAGAGAGAGATGGGTATGAAAAAGAAACATCGATTGGTCACTTCTTGCATGCACCCTGGCTGGGAAATTGGACTTGCAAACTTAGTATGTGCCTTGACTGGGAATCAAACATGCCACTTTTTGGTGTATGGAATGATGCTCCAACCAACTGAGCCAGGGCTATTTCTAATTAATTTATTCCTAAATATGTTATAGTTTTGTTACTACATGAATGAGATTTTAAAATTATTATTACACTAGAGGCCTGGTGCACAAATTCATGCACCAATGTGGGGTCCGTTGGCCTGGCCTGCGGGATCGGGCCAACACTGGCTCTCCAACATCCCCCAAGGGATCCTGGATTCCGAGAGGGCCCCCACCTGTGCACAATTGGGGCTGGGGAGAGATGTGAGAAATTAGCCAGCCAGGGAGGGACCACATGAAGGCTCCAAGGTGTGTCTGGCCTGTCATGCTCAGTCCAGATGGGCTGGACCCTACCAGCAAACTAACCTACTGGTTGAAGCGTCTGCCCCCTGGTGGTCATTGTATGTCATAGCAAGCAGCCTTAGCATATCATTAACATATTACACTTTGATTGGTTGAACAAATGACCGGACATTAAGCATAGTAGGCTTTTATTATATAGGAATATTCGAATTATTATTTCTGCCCTAACTGGTTTGGCTCAGTGGATAGAGCGTCGGCCTGTAGACTGAAAGGTCCCAGGTTTGATTCTAGTCAAGGGCATGTACCTTGGTTGTGGGCACATCCCCAGTAGGAGGTGTGCAGGAGACAGCTGAATCGGTGTCTCTCTCATCAATGTTTCTAACTCCCTATCCCTCTCCCTTACTCTCTGTAAAAAATCATTATTGCTGATACATAGGAAAGTTCTTGAGGTATAAATATTGATCTAGTGCCCTGAATCAAAGGGTCACCTGGTATTGTAGGCTCAATTCCCAGTAAGAGCTGTTTAGGAGGTAGCACATTATGTTTTTCACATTAATGTTTCTCTCTCTCCTCTCTAAAATAAATAAAGACATATTTTAAAAAAAGATTGGTCTAGTATGCAGACATTTTGCTGCACTTACCAATTATTGCTTTGGGTTTTCCAGGTGAACTATCACTTCATCACAAACAATGGCAATTTGGTCTCTTCCCTTCCAGTTTTTAAACCTCATGTTTGCTTTAAATTCTTTCTTTTTTTTAAATATATTTTTATTGATTTTGTACAGAGAGGAAGGGAGAGAGATAGTTAGAGCATCGATGAGAGAGAGTCATCGATCAGCTGCCTCTTGCACATCCCTACTGGGGATGTGCCCGCAACCAAGGTACATGCCCTTGACCGGAATCGAACCCAGGACCCTTCAGTCTCCAAGCCGACGTTCTATCCACTGAGCCAAACCGGTCTCAGCTGCTTTAATTTCTTATTGCATTAATTGTAACTTCCATTATATTATTGAAGAGTATATCGATTCATTTCTGACTGCATTGGTATATCATTCGGGATAGGTTAAGGTATGCTGCAGTAACAAACAACCCCAAAATCTAGTGGTTTAACACAATAAAAATGCATTCCTCTGGTCCTGGCTTGTTTGGCTCAGTGGATAGAGCACCAGCGTATGGACTGAAGGGTCGTGGGTTCAATTCTGGGTCAAGGGCACATGTCTGGGTTGTGTCTTGATCTGGGGGCAGGGGGAAGGAGTGCAGGAGGCAGCCAATCAATAATTCTCTCTCATCATTTATGTTTCTATCTCTCTCCCTCTCCATTCCTCTCTGAAATCAATAAAAATATTTTTAAAATGCATTCCTCGCTTACACCCCATGACCAATACAAGCCAAGAGCAGGGAGGAGTTCCTTAGTGTTGTTTCTCAGAGACTCAGGCGAATGGACGTTCTGTGCCTCCATGGACATGTGCTCCTATGATAACCAGAGCGGAAGGGACTGGCTCTTGGAGCTTCTCCTGTGAAGTAACGCACGTTCTGTCCACTGGCATGTCAGAGCACGTGGCCCGGCCAAGCCTGACTTCCCCAGGGGCAGGGAAGTGCGATCCTACAGGAGGCCAGAAGGACCGTGGGAATGGGTCTAATGCCCCACCGCTGAGCATGATGGAAGTTGCATCACATATGCTCCAAGTTTCTAGCAGACAATCCTTTCTCAAGTTGAGGATTAAGTTCACGAGTTTGTTTAGATTTTGTTCAGCCAAGAGTTTTGTCTATATCATGCATGAGCCTTAAATTTTATCAGATGATTTTATAGTCTCCTTTTGATGTGCAGAATTTATTCTTCTCCCTTGCTTTGTTGGGGGCGTTTATAGATATTTTTCGCCCACAACATTCTCCTCCACTGCCCTCTTCAAACACTTCAAAGCTCATTCATTCATTCATTCATTCTTTCATTCTTTCATTCTTTCAGCAAATACTTACTTTAGCAATACTGTGTGCCAGATGCTGTTCTAGGCACTTGGGGTACACCAGTGAACAAAGCCCACAGAGGCCCTTGACCCCACCCTCTCCCCAAGCCTACCCCTCCCCAAGTCTGACCCCCTATCACCCCTCACCCCCCCTTCCCCCCAGCGCTCCGCCTCGCCTCGCCTACGCTGGGGCTTTGGGGGCCGGCCGTAGCCGAGCTGGGCGCTGATTGGCGGTTTATTCTAACAGCTAGAGGCTGAGCTCATCTGCAGCCAATGGCTGGCTGCACCCGGCAAGAAGCCTGCACCCGGCTGGAGGGCGCAGAGCCGGGGTCCGGGTGCAGGATCGCCGGCGGAGGTGAAGGGGCGGTGGTGGTGGCTCCGTGGTCGCGGTGACCGAGCTCCTGGCTCGGGCAGGTACAGTGTTTGCCCGGCCCTTCACCATCCCTCCTCCCAGGCCCCCTCCCCTCACACCCCAGCTCACCTTCCTCGGCCTGACCCCGCGGGGTGGTGCCCCCAGCGAGGAGGGGCCCCCCCCCGCGCGCCTGGAGCTCAGGGGCTGGACGGACGCACCGCTCTCTGTGCGCAGGCCTGGTCCTGCGGCTCTGCCCTCCAGGCTCTGCCCCGCAGGACCGGCCTCAGGCCTCCGAGCTGCATGCCCTGTCCCGGGTGGGCTGAACCGAGTCCCTCCCTCCTTCCCTCCATCTCCCGGCCTCAGCCTGGCCAGGGAGCAGCTCCCCGCTGGGCCCGGGATGTGGGTTTCCCTTCCCGCCCCACGCCCCACCCTGTTCCCTCCTCCCTTTCTCTCCAGAGGCGGGCATGCCTGCGATTGGGAGCTCAGGCCCTGCTCCTTCCCAATGGGCCCCAGAGCAAGGGCGCCCCCTGCAGTGCAGAGAGGGGCAGGGGCAGCTCTGCTGGCCTCTCTCCGGGCCCTGTCCTTGGCCACGGCCATTCCTCTGTCCCTTTGGCCACGTGTGTCCCGCACGCTCCAAAAGGAGCTGCTGTGCGGTCTCTGGCCACGTGGGCTCCTGGCTTCAGAGCCATCCCCTCCTTCCTCCCCAGAGCTGAGTAGGCCCTGCCCTCCTCCCTCTAACCCCATCCATCTGCCCCTCAGGCAAGTCACTTGCCCACAGGCCGGAAGGCCTGGCTCCGTGCCCAGCTCCCTGCTGGGCTGTGTGGGAGGTCCTCACCCCTGACCACACTGACCTCGGCGCTGAGGGAGACAAGCAGGGGCAGCCGCTCTGTCTGCAGCTGAACGGGGAGGGACCGTGAGGCTCCCGGGGGAGGAGCCGTGAGGGGAGAACGGGCGGGACGGAGGGAACCGTGTGAGGAATGGCCCTGCCTCAGCTCAGAGTGCGGCCTCCGTTGCGTGTACTGTGTGATTTTTTTATTATTATTATTGATTTCAAAGTAGAAGAGAGAGAGAGAGAGGCATCAACCAGGGTTTGCTCCATGAAGGCAGCTCTGGGTCACAGATAGCTTCAGCTCCCGCCAGTGCTCAGCGCCTAGGAAGTCCTCGAGAAATGCTCACTGAGTGGAATTTGAATCGAAGGGAGGAGCCCCAAGCGTGTTCTTATTCTATCACCACCCCTTAGGAAAGACCTGGCTCCGTGAAAGGACTTGGCCCCCATTCGCTCTGATCCTCCAGCCCCCGAGGTGTTCGCCTCTGAACATTCAGGGGACGAAACCAGGGTGCAAACGGGGTGTTGTTCCCAATGGGGTCCTCCCTCACACCCCTGTTCATCCCCCCATGCCCCCGTTCATTCCCCCCATGCCCCTGTTCATTCCCCCTGCCCCCGATCATTCCCCCACGCCCCTGTTCATTCCCCCATATCCCTGTTCATTCCCCCACGCCCCCCGTTCATTCCCCCCTGCCCCTTTCCCCCATGCCCCTGTTCATTCCCCCCTGCCCCTGTTCATTCCCCCATGCCCCCGTTCATTCCCCCTGCCCCTGTTCATTCCCCCATGCCCCCGTTCATTCCCCCTGCCCCTGTTCATTCCCTCACGCCCCTGTTCGTCCCCCCTGCCCCTGCAGGGCAGTCGCCATGAGCCTGGTGGCCTGCGAGGGTCCCCCCAGCCCCGGGCAGGAGCCCGAGCCCTGCTCGCGAGCACCGTCCCAGGCCCGTGTGTACCTGGAGCAGATCCGCAACCGGGTGGCCCCGGGGCCGCCGGACTCGGCCAAGCGCGACTACTTGGTGGACGCGGCCACGCAGATCCGGCTGGCCCTGGAGCGCGACGTCAGCGAGGACTACGAGGCCGCCTTCAACCACTACCAGAACAGCGTGGACGTCCTGCTGCGCGGCGTGCACGGTCAGGGCCGGGCCGGGCCGGGCGGGGTGGGGCGGGGGAGGGAGGGAGAGCCCGCATGCAGCTCCCTGCATCTGCCCCTCTGTGCTGGGTGAACATGGCCTGCAGGCCTCTCCGAAAGACCCTAATAAAAGCTCCTGTTTATGGAGCGGTTCCTGCGTGCCAGGCGCTGGTCCAAGAGCTTTGCTGCATTTTTTTTTTTTAAATATATATTTTATTGATTTTTTTTTTTTTATAGAGAGGAAGGGAGAGAGACAGAGAGTTAGAATCATCGATGAGAGAGAGCCATCGATTAGCTGCCTCCTGCACACTCCCCACTGGGGATGTGCCCACAACCAAGGTACGTGCCCTTACCCGGAATCGAACCCGAGACCCTTCAGTCCGCAGGCCAATGCTCTGTCCACTGAACCAAACCGGTTTTGGCTGCTGTATTTAAAAAAAATATTTTTTATTGATTTCAAAGTGGAAGGGGAGACAGAGAGAGAGAGAGAGAGAGAGGGAGAGAGACATCAATGAAACATCAATGATGAGAATCATTGATCGCCTCCTGCACACCCCCCACTGGGGATCGAGCCCACAACCCAGGCATATGCCCCCTGGCTGAAATAGAATCTAAGACCCTTTGGTTTGAAGGCTGATGCTCTATCCACTGAGCCAAACCGGTCAGGGCAGGGCTTTGCTGTATTCACTCATCTGAACCTCACGGTAGAGGAAGATACTGTGCATGTTGTTGCAGGGAGCTCCTAGTACGCAGGAACTATTTTTGTTCCTATTTTCCAAATGAGGAAACAGGCACGGGGCAGTTACAAAGCCTGTGTGTAATGGGGGTAGGCTGATGAGTGGACGATGGGCAATTACAGTCTCAAGTGTGAAGAGCAGTGAGGAGGAAGTGAAGGGAGGGAGTCCATGCGCGGCCGGCATAGGGGACTTTCTGGAAGTCCAAACTCTCATCGGAGCGCTGAAGAACAGCAGGTGCCTTGTCCAGCTGAAAGGCCGGACAGAGCTCCTGAGAGAGAACAGCGAAGGCTGGAGGGGTGGGTAGGAGCCTGTTCAGGGCAAAGCGAGGCATTTCCAAGCTGGGGGAGAGACCAGCCCTGAGGCCAGTGTGGGGCCCGGGGCCTTGGTGGCCAGGCTCGGGTAGAGTTGAGCCCTGATTGGTGCTTCCTGCCCTCTGCTGACCTGCCCTCAGTGCCTGGGCCTCAGGCCTGCCCAGCAGCCCCCTCCGTCTCCCAATCCCGATCTCCTCCCTGGCCTTTCCCACGCTGGGCACCAGAGCGGAGGGCAGCCGTGTTCTCCCGGGCTCCTGCCTCCTCCTCTGACACGGACATGGGCATCCCACTCTGTCCCTTCCAGGGTGGCGGCGGCCAGCGAGGTGGTGGGCACCAGCTGTAAGGCGCTCTAGGCCGGGGGTGACCGCGGCTCCCAACCCCTCCTGCCATCTTCCTTCCCCCTCCCCCGCCGGTCTCCTTCCTACAGGAGAGGCTCAGGAACAGATGGGGGGCGGGAACCTGCTGACCAGCCTCAGACGTAGGCACCCTGACCTGCGGAGGGGGAGGGCGGAGGGCGGAGGGCGGAGGGGGAGGGCGGAGGGCGGGCAAGGGGAGTTAGAACCACAGCCCTCCAGGGCCAGGGAGGGGAGCAGGGTGCCCTGGTAACCCCCTCCCCCCACAGTCGACCCCAACAAGGAGCGGTGTGAGGCTGTGAAGCTGAAAATCGCCAAGTACCTGCGGCGGGCAGAGGAGATCTTCACCTGCCACCTGCAGCGGAGCCTGGGCGGCGGGGCCAGCCCTGGCGCGGTGAGGAGGGCTCCCTGCCCGCGGGCAGCAGGGCTGAGCGGGCGGGGGGTGCAGGGGCGTGTGCCCGGGCTGCCCTCCCCTCCCCCCCCCTTCCTTTGGCTTCCTCCCTCGCTCACGCCCTCTAGGGTTCATTCACTCTCCAACACGCAGTGACTCCCGCAGGCCGGCCTCTCGCCCTCACAGAGGACACGCACGCCGCCCCGCCCTCGCACACGGCGCACACACAGGCTGGCGTGTGCACACACTCCCCGGCTCCCGGGCTGTTTGTGTGTGAATGGAGCAGACACGGATACCGCGGTGTGCGCATACACACGCATGCACACGCAGCGGTGCCCAGATGCTCTCCCCATGCGGCTTTCCCTAACCCAGTGCACACGCAGAGGGGGTTGAAGACGCACGCCCACCTCTCATGCCCACAGGTGTGCACGGACACTCACACGCACCCTCCTAGGCTCACTTTCCCTCCAGCCGGGGGCCGGGGCCACGTGCCCGGGTCTTCGAGGCATGTTCCCTGGGGCCCGCATGCTCCCAGGGTACCTCCCCGCCCCGGAGCCCTGCCTCCTGGAGGTGCTTTCGAGGGCGGCTTCTGAAGCCCGAGGGTGGCTTCTGGGCCTTGGAGAAGGGCTGCGGGGTGGGCAGTGGTCGGCAAACTGCGGCTCGTGAGCCACATGCGGCTCTTTGACCTCTTTTTTTTTTTTTAATATATTTTATTGATTTTTCACAGAGAAAAAGAGAGAGGGATAGAGAGTTAGAAACATCGCTGAGAGAGAATCATCGATCAGCTGCCTCTTGCACACCCCTTACTGGGGATGTGCCTTGCAACCAAGGTACATGCCCTTGCCCGGAATCGAACCCGGGGACCTTTCAGTCCGCAGGCCGACGCTCTATCCACTGAGCCAAACCGGTCTCGGCTGACCTCTTGAGTGTGGCTCTTCCACAAAATACCACGGTCTGGGAGAGTCTATTTTGAAGAAGTGGCGTTAGAAGAAGTTTTAAGTTTAAAAAAAAAATTGTCTCTTAAAAGAAATTTTAGTCGTTGTCCTGTTGATATTTGGCTCTGTTGACTAATGAGTTTGCTGACCACTGGGGTAGGGGGTGGAGAGTTGGGGAGCTGAGTGAAGAGGGCAGTGTGGCCCCCCCAAGTCGGGACTAGCTTCTCTGCTCAGCCTGTCCCTGTGAGGGAGGTTGGACTGCACCCCACTCTTGCCCGCTCCCCGTGCTCCCCCGGCAGTTGGAGGCCCGGCCCTGCCCGGAGCAGCAGCCGCTGAGGGCTGGGCCCTGTGCCTGTCTCGCCTCCGCAGGGTTTCAGCAGCCTTCGGCTCCGGCCCATCCGCACGCTGAGCTCGGCCCTGGAGCAGCTGAGGGGCTGCCGGGTGGTCGGGGTCATCGAGAAGGTGAGTCAGCGGGGCCCGCGTGTGGGAGGGGATGGTGTGTGCGAGGGGGTGACGGGTGGGCAGAGAGAGCACCACGCCCAGTCCTTCGGGGGAGACAGGAAAGGGGCAGCTGTCCAGCGGTGCCCAGTGGCTCCCCTGCCTCCCCCAGCTCACACCAGTCAGGTCCTGGGAAGGAGGCTGGGAGCCCAAGAGGCAGTCAACGCCTCCCACAGCCCTCCAGCTCGGACACAGGAAACTGCTCCCCCCGGGATTCAAGGCAGAAGCCACAGGAGGAGCGGTGCCCGGGGCATCCTGCCCCCCACACTGCTCACTCACTCGTCCCACAGGCCCCACCCCGCATTCCCCCTGCATCCCAGGGCTGCAGCCGAGTCCCCCGCCAAGCACAGCCAAGAAGTCCCCGTGGCGGGCAGGTGCTCACCTCCAGAAACCCGTCCTCAGGGTGTCCCACCGGCCCGGGCATCATCCGGGGCCTGGCCGCTGTGCCCTCTCTCCTGGCCCCACCCTCCTCCTCACCCCTCTGGGCCCTTCCCTTCACGCAGGCAGACAGGAGGCTAGGACCTGACATCCCAGCCCGTACCTGGCACCCTCAGCGCGGGGTCAGCAGAGCAAACAGTTGGGTCAAATGAGGTGGGAGCTGTTGACATAAGAAATGTCCAAACCTGTACGAACTTTTATGAGTTTATTTGAGCCAAACTGATGACAATTGAGGGGAAGCGAAACCCCAATGGATTGAGAAAATGTTCCAGAAAAAAAAAACCCAGCAGTTTTACCACTTATTCCGTAGCTCAGAATTAAAGGGGTAGACCAGGGGGATTGTTACTTAAACTTCATGGGTGATAGATTAGGGAGGCAGGAGAGAGCAACTAGGAGATCTAATCTTTGTGGTTGGGAGAAAGTAGAATGGATAGACACCTACTTCCTTCCTACGGGAGAGCACCGGGCAGGTACTGAGGAGCATTTTCAGCACACAGAGAGCGCAGTCCGGGAACAGGGCACTGTGAGGGGCACTGTGGTCTCCAGACCCGGTGGGAGGTGGATCCCCAAGGGGTCTGTAACTGCAACGCTGACATTTCCAAGGTTCGTTACCTGAGATACAAAAAGACAGACAGGCTCACTTCAGGTAAAGACTGGCGTTTGTCAAGGAAGCGATAGGCCTGGGATGGGACGCTCCTTCATTTGGGAAGCTTTATGCTCAGACCGCCCGGTGCGGTTAATTCCAGTCCCTGAGCTTGTCCGGTTCCGCCGTGGCCCCTTTTCCTCCGCAGAGCTGGCGCTCGGTGCCCTCTGCCCCCACCCAGGGCTGCCTGGGTGTCACGGGAGAAGCTCCTTCTCACACCGGCTGTTTGTCAGGATCACCTGGGGGCCTCCCCCAACATACAGGCGCCTGGGCCCCACCACAGGCCCCTGGAGCCAGAATCTCTGGGGTGGAGCCAGGGATCTATAATTCAGACACTCATGGGGGATTTTTAAAAAATATATATTTTATTGATTTTTTTAACAAAGAGGAAGGGAGAGGGATAGAGAGTTACAAACACCGATGAGGGAGAAACATCCATTAGCTGCCTCCTGCACACTCCCTACTGGGGATGTGCCCGCAACCAAGGTGCATGCCCTTGACCGGAATCGAACCCAGGACCCCTCAGCCCACAGGTCCGCAGGCTGACGCTCTATCCACTGAGCCAGACCAGTCAGGCACTCACAGGGGATTCTGACGGGGCTGGAGCCACAGAGCAGAGAGGCCGGTGTGAGCTTCCGCACACGCCGGAGCGGGGAATCTCTCTGGGCGGCACACGGGGCGGCCAAGGGCAGGTCCTTCACCCTCAGCGCTCGCCGGCTCCTCCCGGCACGGGGTGATGTGGGAACTAAAGTGAGGTAATTTAGGGGAAAGGCCTGGCTAAAACCCGTGATGCGTGTCTGATGGCTCTTGGTGCGAGTGACAAGTGCCAGGCGGTGGCATGCGGGCTTCCCGTCCCCAGCCTTGCTCTTGCTCCATCGGCTACTCCCAGGCCCCTGGAACGGACCCCAGTAGGTCAGCAAGGCCCAGTCAGGCTCCGTCTGTGCAGCCTGCCCGCCCGCCAACTAGTCCATGTGACTTGGCCAGGCCGGGAGGTGACCGCCACCGCCATCTCCCTACGTGGGACCCCACGGAGCCCGGGCGCCGTGCAGGGCGGCGTTCGGGTGAAACAGGTTTGGGAAACAGTGAGTGGACGTTACGCTGCTCTGCTTTTTAAGTTACAGGAGTTTTGGGGAGCATACGGGCACCTTGCGTTGCTGGGAGGGAGGTCTGTGACAGAACGCCCCTCGTGTGCTCAAGCCCAGGTCGCCCCGTGCAGAGCGTTTTCAGAGCCCGGCGTTCTGAGCCCCGTGCGTGTAGCCAGCCGCCATTCCGTCCGAGATCGCCCTGCACTCCTGCTCCACCCTTTCTTGGGCAATCACTTACCTGCTCCACCTCCCTCCAAAGATCCCGTTTCCCAAGCCAGGGTCACCAGTTTCCCCAAATTAGGAACGGTGGTGGGGAGCCTGGGACCAGGTCCCGGCTGCCAGGCCTGGATGTGCCTCACCGCGTCCCGTTCGGCGGCTCTGCCCAGGCAGATCCGGGCGGGAGGGCAGCGCTGGGGCAGCACAGCCAGGGAGGGCAGAGGGCTGGCTCAAGAAGCCCGACATCCCCTGAGGTGCCCCGTTGTCAGGGGAGAGGGCCTCCAGGGCTGAAGAAGTACTGGCAGGCAGAGAGGGTGGCAGGGAACAGAGGTGGCTGGTCAAGGACGAGGGAGGCAGTGGGCCAGCATACCCAGGCGTCTGCTCTCAGGGATCCAGGCTCTGAGTCAAGGATGGGGAAGGAAAAGGTCACTCAAGTCACTTGTTTTGTTTTTTTTTTGGGCTCCAACACAGGGGTGTTTTTTTTTGTTTGTTTTTAATTTATTAGTTACCAACATTGAAAAGTTGGCAGGTTTCATATAAACGTCCAGCTCTCCTGCTTCTCCTCAAAACCCAGAGGTCTGGAAAGGCTGGCTTGAGGGAGTGGAGGAAGGGCCGGCTGCTCTCAGGGGCTGCAGCCCTCGGCTTCGCCCCGTCCCCGCCCTGCTCGTGTGGCCCACAGGCCCGGCCCCTGCGGACCTTGGATGTTGCAAACCCGTTTGCAACGTGGGGGCTTGTGAGCTCGGTGAGAGATTCCTCCCGGGGTTTGGACACATCGGGCGTTTTTACAGAAAGGGTTCCTGTGTCTCCCATCCAAGTACTAACCAGGCCCGACCCTGCTTAGCTTCCGAGATCAGACGAGATCGGGCGCATTCAGGGTGGTATGGCCGTAGACTGGTTCCTGTGTCTCAACAAAGAAACGGCAGCAGCTGCACCAGCCACATTTCAAGGGCTCGATACCCACACGTGGCTAATGGCTTCCACATTGGACGGTGCGCGGCCAAAAGCTCCCCTGGGAGGGCTGCCTGTGAGGCGTTGTCTTACGGGGGTCCACAGAGGCCACGGGACCAGAGGGTGTTGTGTCTCCCGTAGCCGGGGGCAAAGGAGGAAGGGGGATTTTTTGTTTGCTTGGTTTAATGGGAAAATGCCCTCCCTGTACCCCTTTTGAGGCAACATGAAGGAGGAAGGCATTTAAAACAGAAACAATTCCCCACCTTCCTACCTCGCTCCAAGATAAGGACTGCCAATGTTCTGGTCGAATTCTTTCCAGATCAGTAGGTTTTAGTACACAGACAGCGTTTTACCCACTTGTTTCAATGTCCTGGTTAAGTTTTTCTTGTTTTTAATATATTTTATTGATTTTTTTTTTTTTTTTACAGAGAGGAAGAGGGAGGGATAGAAAGCTAGAAACATCGATGAGAGAGAAACATCCATCAGCTGCCTCTTGCACACCCCCTACTAGGGATGTGCCCACAACCAAGGTACATGCCCTTGACGGGAATCGAACCCGGGACCTTCCAGTCTGCAGGCCGACGCTCTATCCACTGAGCCAAAACGGTTCGGCCCTGGTTAGGTTTTATCTCACTGCCCCTGCCTTCCTGGCTGGTTTCTGGACTCTGTGGACACCAGGGCTGTGTCCAGGACGAGAGAGTAGGAAGCCCCACTTGGCAAGGGGCAGTGGGGAATTATCTGGGTGTCAGCGCTTGTGGGAAACTGTTCTCCCAGATTGACCCCGGAGTTTCTTTCTCAAACATCGTACAGATTGGGTCAAGGAGTGGGGCCGGGCTGGGCTCCATCTGTGGCTCTTGGAGGAGGGGCCCCCTCCCTCCTGCTGCACAGAGTCCGCCGCCTTCATCTCCCTGGTGATGGGGACCTTCGGGGCCAGAGTGAGCTGCTGGTACCCCCACTGGCAGGTACTCTCCACGGCTCCAGGATCAGCCCGCCTGGCTCTACCCCTTCTTAGGAGTGGGATCTTGGGCAACATAACCTCTCTGAATCTTCATTTCTTTAAATAAATAAATAAATAGATAGATAGATAAATAAATAAATAAATTTTTTATTGATTTTAGAGAGGAAGGAAAAGGGAGAGATAGAAACGTTAATGATGAGAAAGAATCGTTGATTGGCTGCCTCCTGCACAATCCTCCTGGGGGTGGAGCCCACAACCCAGGCATGTGCCCTGATTGGGAACCGAACCATGACCTCCTGGTTCTCTCTCCCCCTCCCCCCACACGCTCGGCATGCCCTTTCCTGGGCCTGGGGTCCATCCTGCCCACCACGAGAAGAGGCAAGGACTCAACTTGCTACAAGACGCTGCCTCTGAACAAAACCAATGGGAGGAGTGGACTGGTCTCCGAAGGCAGCCTCCAGAGAGAACTATTGAAAAGAAGGGTGGGCCCTGGATGGTTTGGCTCAGTGGATAGAGCGTCGGCCTGCGGACTGAAAGGTCTCAGGTTCGATTCCGGTCAAGGGCATGTACTTTGGTTGCGGGCACATCCCCAGTAGTGGGTGTGCAGGAGGCAGCTGATTGATGATTCTCTCTCATCGATGTTTCTGACTCTCTATCCCCCTCTCTTCTTTTCTGTAAAAAAAAAACAAAAACAAAAAACCAATAAGGAATATATTTTAAAAAAATAATAAATAAATAAAAGAAGGGTGGGCATCAGGGGAAGAGACCTGAGAGAGCACTCCCGCCCAGGCACTTGGTGGCCTGGGCCACACTCTCAGAGCCTCCGCTTTCCACCTGGGAAATGAACGATCAGAGGATGTAACTGGCTCTGAGGTCGTTGCCATCCGTGACACCCTCACACCCTGCAGGCTGGGCCCCTCACCATGGACGTGTGCTCTGGAAACAGAGCTGGTCTGTGGGCTTCCTGTCCTCCTGGGGCTCACAGTGCAGGGGGGAGATGGGAAATTAGACACCGTGTGATAAGGCTCCCCTACGGGTGAGCTTGGAGAGCACCCGAGGGCCGGGAAGGCTTCCTGGAGGCAGCGGCACATGAGCTAAGGCCTGCAGGTCTAAGGAGGGCGGGTGAGCAGGACAGGATGGATGTCAGTTTGGGGGCCTGCCTTCCTTGCCCCTGGAGTGAGTCAGCCTCAGGGGAGGAAGCTGGGGGCTGTCATGAGGGCCATGGAGCCCCGGGAACCAGCATGTGCTTGACCAATGCCTCCTGGACCTTGGCAGGTGCAGCTGGTCCAGGACCCGGCGACCGGAGGGACCTTCGTGGTGAAGGCAGGTGCCACCCAGCCCCCTCCATGCTGCATTCCCCTTGGGACTTTCTCAGAGCTCTTAGACCCCACTACCCTCTAGGGAACTCCCGACTCAGAACCTCTATCTGACGTCCACACCCCCTCCAAACCTGAAAGCCACTCGTCCTGTCCTGAGCACACCCGGGCCCTCCAGACACTCACACTTCACTGCCCCCTCCCTGGCCCGGGAGGTGGAGGCCCTGGGTGGCATAGGGAAGACAGGGGTGGGGGCCAGGGCAGGAAGTGGGGGAGCAGTGGCTCCTCAGGGTGGCTGGCTCCCACCCCTCATCCGGTTGCCACTGAAGCCGGGGCTCTGACGTCCCCTCACAGAGCAGCCTCTGGCCTGCCCCCTCCCCAGAGCCTGTCCAGGTGTCCCACGGCGAGCCAGGAGCGGCTGACCATCATCCCGCACGGCGTCCCCTACATGACCAAGCTGCTGCGGTACTTCGTCAGCGAGGACTCCATCTTCCTGCACCTGGAGCATGTGCAAGGTGAGGACCCGGGGAGGTGTCCCCTAGCCTTCCCTTAAAATGCCTGAACTGAGGGAGGGGTAACCTGCACTGAGTGTGCAGGCAGACCTGGGCCCAGCGGCCGGGTCAGGCTGTGTGGGCCTCAGAGGGGCAGGGGTGGCCTGGGGAGGATGTTCCTGTAGGGCTGGCGAGAGGGCATTTAGATGCCCCCTTTGTCACCATTTCCTCCAGTCATGGCTCTCTTCCTCTTTCTAGTCTGTGCCCATCCCTCGGAGCACTGTGTGGGATGGTGGTTCTGAATCTGTAAGATCAGGAGCTGGTCATGTAGCAGATATTTATTGATCTCCTGTTAGGGTGATGAAATTTAAAAAAATATATATTTTTATTGATTTCAAAGAGGAAGGGAGAGAGAGATAGAAACATTGATGATGAGAGACAATCATTGGCTGGCTGCCTCCTGCACGCCCCCTACTGGGCATGGAGTCCACAATAGGGAATCGAACCAGGGATCCTTCAGTTCTCAGGGCAACGCTCTTTCCACGGAGCCAAACCAGCTTGGGCAGGTGATGAGATTTTTTTTAGTGAGGTGCACATTCTAGGTCATGACATGGAGTCATCACAGGTCTGTGCCTGGCCTTCTTTTATTTATTTATTTATTTTTAAAAAATTTTTTTAAAAATATATTTTTATTGATTTTGTACAGAGAGGAAGGAAGAGAGATAGAGAGTTAGAAACATTGATGAGAGAGAGTCACTGATCAGCTGCCTCTTGCACACCCCCTACTGGGGATATGCCCGCAACCAAGGCACATGCCCTGGACCGGAATCAAACCCGGGACCCTTCAGTCCCCAAGCCGACGCTCTATCCATTGAGCCAAACCGGTCTCGGCCTTTCTTTTATTTTACTAACTTACATTTTATTGTATTATTCTCCCTAAAATTTTTTATTTTTTATTTATTTTTTTAAAATATATTTTATTGATTTTTTACAGAGAGGAAGAGAGAGGGATAGAGAGTTAGAAACATCGACAAGAGAGAATCATCGATCAGCTGCCTCTTGCACACCCCCTACTGGGGATGTGCCCGCAACCAAGGTACATGCCCTTGACCAGAATCAAACCCTGGACCTTTCAGTCCGCAGGTTGATGCTCTATCCACTGAGCCAAACCGGTTTCCGCCTCCCTAAAAATTTTTTTAAAATATCTATGTATAAAACATATTGAACACTGGTAAACCAACACCAAAACCAGGGACGTTAGCAATAACATACATTTCCTTAGGGGGTAAGCACCTATTTTGTGCCAGATTGGGAGGCTGGTCCTCTAGGGGAGTGACAGGAAGGAGAGGTCATTCGAGGGTCAGGCTCCGGGAGCGGGGAGCAGAGGCCGCAGGGCAGACCGGGACCTGGTGCCCACGCTCTTCTCCCTTCTGCCTGGCCAGGAGGCACGCTCTGGTCCCACCTGCGCTCCCAGGCCCGCCCCCGGCAGGCCGGGCCCAGGCCTGGCTCCAGCCGGGAGAGGATGAAGGCTCAGCTCAACCCCCACCTCAGCATCCAGCCCCCGACGTCGCTGCCCCCTGGCCACACCCGCCTGCAGGACCCAGTGCCCCTGGAGTCTCCTTGGACTTGCCGGAGCTTCGCCCCAGCCAGGGAGGTGCCGCCCGTCGGACCCCAGCGAGAGGCTGAAGGTGCGCCCTCAGCCAGGACCAGCACCCCCTGCTCCTCTTCCTGCTCCTCGGACCCTCCGAAGGCTCCCGGTGGCCGCCTGCGCCTCCCGGCCCGGAGAGAACCTGGCCAGAACTCAGACACTGGGTCCCCCTGGGGGCTCTCTTGGGTCCGCGAGGGGGCGGGCCGGGTGCTGGGGGGCTGTGGCCGCAGCAGAGGTCCCAGCTGCCCCTCAGCGGACAAGGCCGGCCGGGGGCCCGGCGGGGGCGCCTGGAGCGTGAGGGAAGAGCAGGCCAAGCAGTGGGCGGCGGAGATGCTGGTGGCCCTGGAGGCGCTGCACCAGCAGGGGGTGCTATGCCGGGACCTCAATCCCCGGAACCTGCTCCTGGACCAGGCAGGTAGGTGCCCCGGCCTGGGGAGGGGAGTACAGAGGCGGGGCCCCAAAGCCTCAAGACAGAGGAGAGTACCACGAATTCAAGGGAATGGTGGAGGCGATCTGCTTCCCCCAGCCTTTTTATTTATTTTTAAAAATATATATTTTATTGATTTCTTACAGAGAGAAAGGGAGAGGGATAGAGTTAGAAACATCGATGAGAGAGAATCATCGACCAGCTGCCTCCTGCACACTTCCTACTGGGGGTGTACTTGCAACCCAGATACAAGCCCTTGACCGGAATCAAACCTGAGACCTTTCAGTCTGCAGGCCAACGCTCTGTCCACTGAGCTCCCCCAGCCATTTTAAAAAATATGTATTTGTCTTGATTTCCGAGAGGGAGAGAGAAGCATCAGTGATGAGGGAATCATTGATCGGCTGCCTCCTGCACACCCCATACAGGGGATCGAGCCCACAACTCAGGCATGTGCCCTGCCTGGGAATTAAACCGTGACCTCCTGGTTCATAGGTGGATGCTCAACCACTGAGCCACACCAGCCAGCCCCCTCTCTGTCCCCCCCCCTGTCTGCCCCCCCCCAACTCTCCTTCAGGCCCAGGAGTCCAGGGCAGCAGCTCCTATGAATACCCAGTTGTCTCCGGGCCTCGGGGCTGCATGCCCCTCGGGAGGCCATGCTTAGCAAGGCCGGTGGCTCCAGCCTTGAGTGGGGGGCGTGCTGGAGCCCCTCCCCCAGGCCAGCTGCTCGGCAGTGACTAATGGTATTTTCTGTCCCCATCCCATCCCCTGCACACGCCGGGCGGGAAGGTCACATTCGGCTCACGTACTTCGGCCAGTGGTCCGAGGTGGAGCCCCAGTGCTGCAGGGAGGCTGCGGACAATCTCTACAGTGCCCCAGGCAAGGGGGGGCCTGGACCCCGGGGCCTTTGGGTGGGTGAACATGGGTGGGCAGGGGGGGCTGAGGGTGACAGAGGGGATGGGCCGTGTCTGGGTAGGATGACTGGAGGGGCGACCCGCCTTCATGGGGAAGGTGGGGACATTTGCGTTCTTGCTCCCACAGAGGTGGGTGGCATTTCCGAGCTGACGGAAGCCTGTGACTGGTGGAGCTTTGGGTCTCTGCTGTATGAACTGCTGACTGGCACGGTGAGTGGCGGGGCAGGGGGTGGGGCCCTTGTGGGCGGTCACTGAGGACAGGGTGGCCTGGGCTCAATACAACCAGCCCATGGGGGACTCAGGCTGCCTGATGCTCCAGAACCTGGCCCTGGGACTAGGTGTCCTGCCAGCACAGCTGCCCTCCCCAGCTCACCCCCACAGGGAGCCACTGCCACCCAGGCCGCGGGCCCACTTCATCCCCCCCATCCCCGCCCCAATACTAGTGGCTGTAGCTGGTGAGCCTGCCAACTTCCGTGGGTGAGAGCTGAGCTGGGGTGGGCAGGGCAGGTTTCTGGAAGAGCAGCCTGGGCCCAGGTCTGGAGGAAGGGTGCAGTAGGACAGCCCTTCTTCCCTGAAAGATGCTGGCTCACCCTCTCAGCGCTTCCCACTGCTCGCTTCCCACCCCGACAGCCTCCTGGGCTATAACCCCCAGACGTTGGCTGAAGAGCAGGAGAGAGGGCCTCCTGGGTGCAGGCTGGCCGCTGTCCGTCCAGCCTGGGTCAGCCAAGGGCTCAACGTTTCCCCCTGCAAACACCCTCACTCAGGACGGCGGCCTCTGCCCTCTGTCCGCCCCGATGAGCTCAGCTCTGCACCTGGGGCTGGTGAGGTCAGACAGCGAGGGAAAGGCCGGCCCGCCTTGAAGCAGGAAAGAGCCAGAGAGGAAGCAGTGTGACCTGAAGCCCAGATCTGACCAGTTCACCGTGGCTGCCTCCTGCGTTTGCCCTGTCGCCCGGGGCCTCGGAGCCCTGGCTGCAAACAGAGCTGCTCTCCCCTCGCAGCCTCCCGCCACCTCTCCAGCCCGAGCTTCTGGCCCTCCTCCTGGTCGCTTCTTGCAGCTCATCCTGACCTCCAGACAGACCTCCTTGCTCTCCACAGCTGCACCCTGCTGGCGGCCAGAGAGGCCCTGCCTTCCCTCACCACAGCCTTGTCTTGGCCCAGCTGCCAAATGAGTGGCCCGTGGAAGGTTTTTGTTTTTTGCTTTTTCTGTATGAAGACAAGTCCCAATACTCATCCTGAAGTGCCTGTCCTGATTGCAGCCAAGAGCAATGGATCGAGCGAGCTTAGAGCCAGAGGGACCTGGGTTCAAACCCTACCCTCAGCACCAGTCCCCCTTCACCTCTCAGTTGCTTTTGTCTCTCCAGTGCGATACTTGTATTTCCCCAGGGAGTGGTTGTGGGCATGTGTGGAATGGCTGTCAGGCATCGAACGCCATCTGAAGTACAGTCGATCCAAAGCAGACCCAATGGCCTGCCTTGTCATCATCGTCCCATGGAATGGGATACAGGGAACAGTAAAATCCTGACTGCCGCTGGGGTGGACCGATGTTCCAGGGGTTGCCCCCTGAGGCCCCTCTCTGTGTCTTCCCAGGCCCTCTCCCAGAGCCACCCCTCAGGAATCCAGCCCCACACCCAGCTCCAGCTGCCCGAGTGGCTCAGTCGCTCAGCTGCCTCCCTGCTGACTGAGGTGAGGTCAGCCCCTTGGCCTGAGGGTGGGCGGGCGCTGGGAGGGCAGAACCCTGTGTGTGAACAAGCAAGCTGCTCCCGGATGGCTGATGTGGGTGCAGGAGGTTACAAAGTTCTCTGTGTTGGTGGCCAAACACCACCAGTGTTCCCCAGGGTAAAACGGGGGTTCTGTGGGCTGAGCTGGCAGGCAGTGAGCCCCCGGGGCCGTGGTGACAGGTCCCTGGCAGTCAGCCCACCCCTCAGCAATGGGGCTGGGAAGGCCTGCCAGGCGCTGACTGGGCCTTTCTCCGCAGCTACTGCAGTTCGATGCCAGCAGGCGCCTGGGAACTGGAGGGGGCGGTGTCAACAGGCTCAAGACCCACCCCTTTTTCAGTACCATCCAGTGGAGCAAGCTGGTGGGGTAAGAGGGGGCGATGGAGGCAGCTGGACTGGTCTGGATCTCCTCTCTTCTCTTCGTCTGCCATCCTGCCGCTCTGAGCTGACCCTAATCCTGTCACTCTGATCAGCGGCCTCTGCAAGGAAGGCGGGTCAGCCGCCTCTCCGGCTCTGCTCTGCTCCCTCCTGTGGGCCTCAGAAGCCATCGTCACTGCTGCCCAGGAGGGGCTTAGGGAGTCCTCCGCCAGCTCTTGGAGGAGCCCTTTCTAGTCACTGCTGAGGGGAAGGGACAGGTCAGAGCTCACCCTGCTAGGTGGCTTGGGCCCCTCCCTCCACCCATCGGTCCACAGAGACCTGTGGAGCACACACCCTGAGCCTTGAACACGGACCTACCCCGTTCAAAGGGTGCCTTCTGTCACATTCGCTCCGAAGTACTCACCACTTGCTGAGCTAACCTTGAGGTTTTGTGATTCGCTACCTGCCGTGTTGTGCCCTACTTGGGGCATCTCTGGAGACTTATCTCAGGATACTGGGGTCCACTGGCTTAGTGGGCTCAAGTTAGGGCTGCCCTGGCTGATACCTTAGCCACGTAAATAGTGGCCTCTTCTATCAGACTCCTCCTGCAGCGGGTGGGGAGGCCGGGGACGCAGGGAAGACGTCTGCTGTGAGCAGGCAGTGAGGTGGGGGACAGGGTGACCCACTCCCCCTCCTGACCATGCCCCTGTCTTGCAGTTTCAGACTCTGAAAAGGAAGAGGGCTGTAGGGGAGGGAATAGGGATTAGGAGGAGGGGAGAGGACACCTTTGCCAATTAGAGCAATTTTGGAAGCAGGGAAAGATCTCCCCTCCCCCAGGGTGGAGAGAGAGGGGAGCCTGCCCCACGGGTCTGAGACACCACAGTTAGCTTCCAGTCGGAAGCTGCTAAGATAAGCTGGACTCATTAGGATTCCCTTCTCAGGCATTGGTCCTATTTGCCATTTTGCATTTTAGTCTTGAGGGTCCACTCAATTCATTGCCTACTGTGACTTCATCCCCTTTTGAAATGAATCACAACACAGAGAATGGTTGCCCAGGCTTAGCCAGAAGCGAGATGTTTCTGGTCTCTGAAGAACTGGGATAAGTAGTTACCCCAAATACAATTCCCTCCTCAGGTTTAGGGGCTTTTTCTTCTCAGGACTCATCCTGTCACTGGGGTGTGGCAACTTAAACTTTCACCAGACCTCTATCCCCAACCCCTTGCCTTGTGTCTGCAACACCACCAGGTGGCGCCCTTGCCACTCATCTCCATTCCATGAGGGAGGCTGGAGTGACTTGGACAGAGGACATGGGGAAGCATAGCCTGGTATGGTCCTGGTTTCTCTGGGGTTTGTCCATACCCTCTTGCCCCCAATAAAGCCTGATGTTGCCTGTGGTATTCTTGCTCATTAATGCAAGGAGAGCTACCCTGTATGAGCAAGAAGATTGGAAGGCTTCCCCAAAGAAGCTCCATGATATTCAACAGTGACTTAGGAAGCAGGGCTGGTGGTAGACCCGTCCACATGCCAGCCTGTGCCCTGCTGAGTAGCATTGAGCCTAAGGGGAAGTGCTGGCATGGAGGGGCATTGGCCTCTATGGGAAATAAAAGACAAGCTTTAGAAGAGGGTCATGGTGCCTGGGGGGGAAAGAGTTTAATCTTCAGTAAACTATTACTAAGACAGTGGCTCCTACTCAAAGAGGTTAATGACATCTTAGCTGATTTGGCTCAGTGGATGCAGCATCAGCCTGCAGACTGAAGGTTCCTGGGTTCAATTCCAGTCAAGGGCACATGCCTGGGTTGCAGGCTTGCTGGGGGTGTGCAAAAGGCAGCTGATCTATGATTCTCATCATCTGTTTCTCCCTTTCCCTTCCTCTAAAAAACACAAACACATACACGAGGTTAATGACAAGATCTGGTGGGAGCCTAGTGGAGCCTGCCCAGTCTTCCTTTTGCTATGCTCCCTAAGTCAGGCCAGACCTCCTCCAACCACTGCTATAGGTCCGAGTTGCTTCTGGAACTTCTGGGCCCCATCTATGCAATAGACACCGTACGTGTGGCACTGAGCCAGGCTCGAAGTTTTGAATCCTGTCGTCCCAGACCTTATGGGGCTTACAGTCTACCTCAATAGGTTTACTAGAGAAATGAAAGCTTCTAGCACCAGGTTCTGGACCTAGAAAATTCTAAAATTCCTTTCATTGAACCCAAATTTTACCCTCAGAGAGCCACTTTGTTCCTGGGACAGACCTCCAGAGATGGCACCACTGGAAGTAAGATCAGCAGGCATGGACTGTGTGGAAACATCGGGTATATTTAAGCCTGGAGACCATCATGCCAGTCACCTGGAGTCAGTCTGTTAACTGTCCCTCACAGACCACTGCTCCCAGGAGGTAACTGACCCTCATTAGTTTTTGCTGACCTTGGTATCCACCCCAGAAATGTGTGTTGGTGTTTGCAGGGGCCTCACACAAAGGTGGGAGCCAGTCTCTGCCCAAGAGCCCGACTTGACAGGCTTTGAGGGGTCAACTGGAGGCAGGGCACTTCCCTGGCTGGCAGCCAGCCACAGTCCCATTTTTTGTCAGATCAGTGCAGTGTTAAGTCAGGTATCTCAGGGTCACTACAGGGACATTATGTGGCTTTCAATGCCAATAATAAGTGTCGGAGACTTACACAACCTCAGTAACCGAAATGTACACAGAAGCAACAGGAACCCCGTTTGAGAATTTTTGCCCTTTAATTTGCATTTAAAGTCAGTTTCTTTAAATATTTCAGTTACGAGTTCTGAATAGTGAAGACATAGCAGATGCTGCAGGCACTCAGTATTGGCTCCCATCCCTTCCCCCCACCCATCCCCCAGGCCTTACTTCAAGATACAAGTGGGCACTCTGCACTAAATAAATGGCTCCCATGTCAAGTGTCAGCAGCTTCGGGCCTGAATGCAGTTGGATTTAAAGCAATGAAGCCTGGTAGTTTTCATGACAAGACGTGTACATTTAACCATGTTCCAACGATTCCAATGATTGTGTCCAGACCCATCGGGCAGTACCTCAGAGGGGACATCGGTCACTTCCCCGTGACTGGCATCTTGGGGCTGGTTCCCAGTCCACCCTCCCCCAGACCTGCGCTCTGCAGAGCCAAAGCCCCACTTCCCAAGGGCCATGATGAGGAAAGAACTGCCTCTTCAGTCACATGCTCATACCAATGGAATTTAAAAGCTCAAGTCAGTTGGAGCCTGTCCATAGGACGCTCGCTCCCCCCAATCCCTACCAGGCTCCAGTCCATCCTCCACTGCCTTGATGTACTAGAATCAGCTCGATGAGAACAATGTGCTAGAACAGTTCCTAACAACTTAGAAAAGTTGGCACAACCATAGCTGTGCCAAAATGGGTTTTCCTGGTGTGAGGCTATGACAGAGAAATGTGAGGACAGGCCTGGATTCTGGTCTCGTTTACAGCTTATGACCTCAGGGGGGACCTGCCCTCTCCTCCTCAACACTGCCAACATCCCTCCTACCCAGGTCCCCTGGCCTGTGCTTCCTGGAAGAGGTAGTAGAGGCATCTTGAAGTCAACGACAACTGAGAATGAAGGTGCATTTAAGCAGCAAAGCAGCACCTCTTGGCCTGTGGTCAATACCTCCACACAGGTGGAATCAAGTGAGAATGTGCACAGCCAGGGCAGAGGCTGCTCTGAGCGTGGGAGGCACAATGTCTTCCCAGGCAGCTCTGGAGAATACACTTTCAAAAGACTGAAACTTCATCACATGGTCCCCAGTGGTTTCCCTATAGTGTACTGGCACAGGGGAGAAGCAAAATGATCTCGGCAGAGTGTTAATGAAGAAAGGGAGGGATATTAATGAGCATCCGTTAAGGCTCTCTCCCTCTCCCTCAAGCCTAAGGAAGTAAGATATGCGAGTGTTAAGAGAGGGGTGCAAAGAGAGAGAGAGAGAGAGAGAGAGAGAGAGAGAGAGAGAGAGAGAGCCTGAAGGAACTCCAAGAAAGACCCGCAACTGCTGGTTATATAGTGCCCTGGCTTCCTTGCTTGAGGCCAACAGCATGTGCCTGTCTGTCGCCAGGCGAACTCGGGGACCCACGTGGGGCAGAGAGAAGACTGGTTTTCAGTTCCTGTGTGGTCAATGTGTTGGGTGTGTGACTTCCTCCTAAAGGTCCATTAGGAGGATTCTGGGATCCTCTACCGCTGCCTTGATTTTTCGGAGGAAAGTCACAGCCTCTCTGCCGTCGATTAGCCGGTGATCATAGGTCAGTGCCACGAACATCATGGGCCGTATCTCCACCTACAAAGAGAAGAGGTTTATAGATTGTCTGCAGCAAAAAAGCCCCATGGAACTGGGGAAATGAGAAAAGTTCTGTTCCTTTCCTATTGGTGTCCCTCTAAATACAATATTTCTGAAGACCAAGTCTTATCCTTAGTGCAAAGCTCCCCTGCTTGCCCCGCTCTGAAAAACAAAGTAAACAGGAGTCTCCGCACAACTGCCTTTTTAAACACTCTGCCCTTTATTCGTTTTCTATAGGAAAAGTTTCCCTTTCAGGCTGGCTTTAGGGTTATATTATAAATTTAAACCTGGAGTCCACAAATTCTCTGAAATTGTATGTAAAGTAGGGTGTGTGAGCATTTTCAGGGGGGAATATCTGTGATTGTAGACTCACAAAGGAGTTAGTGATCCAAAAAGGTTTGAAACAGCCCCAGAAAATGTTTTCCTACTGACATGTCCTCCGGGGCCAGCTCCACACCCTGGGACTTCCTTCCCTGAAATCCCAGAGAACCTCTAAGCCTTACTCTACACTGGGAAGCTCGTGGACTGCTCTGCATTATCCTTTTCCCAAGGATCAGGTCCCCAACTGTATCCCCAGTTCCTACAGCGCCTAGAGAATGAAGCTGGCTGACTGTCCTGGATAAAGGAGCAAGCCTTCCCATCTCAACTGTCCTCAAACTTCACTGTGCATCAGAATCATCTGCAGGTTCTGCTTCAATGGGTCCAAAAGGGGGTCCAAGAGTTAGCATTTCTAGTAAGTTCCCAGAAACTAAGAGATGAAACTTAAGCCTAAAATTACAGTGAATCTCATAACTGGCATTTAGTAAGATTTCCTCTCATCACTAGCTCCTAGGATATGGACAGTGATGGTTCTTACCTTGCCTCCAATAGCCACTGGCCTATCAAAGATGGCATGCATGCCCAGGATGGCAGACTGAGGGGGGTTGATAATGGGTGTTCCAAAGAGGGAGCCGAAAACACCTCCATTGCTAATGGTGAAAGTACCACCGTCCATATCTTCAATGGCCAGTTCATTCTTCCGGGCCTAAACATAGAGATTACATCATTGCAATGTAAGGGCAGGTGAGCTTCTTCACCTAAAGGAAGTCCAGAAGGCTCGTATCTGAGGTCAACATGGCAAGTCCCAGCTGCAACATGAAAGTTGTTCAGCTGAGCCCAGCCAGCGTGGCTCAGTGGTTGAGCGTAGATCTATGAACCAGGAAGTCACGGTTCGATTCCTGGTCAGTGCATATGTCCAGTTGCAGGCTCTATCCCCAATGTGGGCCATACAGGGGGCAGCCGATCAATGAGTCTCTCTCATCATTGATGTTTCTCTCTCTCCCTCTTCCTTCCTCTGAAATCAATTAAAAAAAATATATATATATTTTTTAAAAAGGAAGTTTTTCAGCTGAGGTGCTGCACCAGAGGACAGACACAAGGCCTTCAGGTCCTCTTGTGTTCCAGCAGGTTCCCTTGATGAGTCTTCAGTCACGAGAGCATGCTAAGCTCTGCCCAATGTCCGCACTTCAGCTCTAGTGGGCGAGAAGCCATGCCCTCTCACGGAACAGAGTGAGGCTCCAGCTCCCCGAGCACGGCTCGCTGGCGAGCGCTGCCTTCCCGGCTGTCTTCCCTGCCCTCCCTGCGGCTTAACACAGGCTGCGTTCTACTTTACCTTCTCTCCCAGTTCACTGATGGTTCGCTCAATATCTGTATAATTCATCGTTTCCACGTTCCTGATGACGGGAACCACCAGACCCTGATGAAAGTGAAAAGCTGTTTTCAGTTGCAAATAGCACCCTTTACAGTTATAACTCCCTGACTCAAGTCAATGGTGGTCCCTTCCCAGAATATCTAATTACTTAATTTGATTAACAGAGTCTAAAATATTTAGGCTTGACATTAAAAGAATGAGGTATGTTCAAAAATAAGTTACTCTCTTACTAATTCCCTTCTAAAAAGACAGAATTACAGACATGATCTATGCCTAGCCATCTGCTTCTTCACACAAATAAGGTGAGAATCTAAGACAAGAACCCCCATTCCTGTCCCAACATACCCGTGGGGTGGCCACCGCAACACTGATGTCAATATAATCTCTATATACCACCTCTTTGGTTGTATCGTCAATCACTGCGAGAGAGAAAACACGTTACATACAACCCCTGAGGCCTAGGCTGATGAGCAACAATCCACAGTGCCTGCAGTGTCAGCTGACCAATCAGTATGAAAAGTTCTGCACTGCAAGTGGCAAACTCCTCTCACTCCCATACTAACCAATCGTAACATCTCCCAAGGGCCCTCACTGAGCCCGACAGCCTGAGCATAGGGCACCATTCTTTGGCAGCCCTCGGCTCACATACGGTCAGTACGCGTTAAGTTCCCGTGAACAAGTCCTCCCTTCGCTGAGAACCGTTAGGTTTAGCCCATCTGCTGTCAACTCTCAAAGGGGGCGGGAGGGAAGGGTCTTCTAGGAGGTTCAGAAGGAAGCAGGGTAGTCTGGCTTTAATAGTGCAGCTTGAGATAGCAACCCCAGCTGCACATTTAGGTCAAGTGCTCATGAAAAACTAGGCTTGGGAATCTCTTCCACAGAAAGTGTATGTTGTATAGTTAGACAAAACACCAGGAAAAGCATGTCAATGACAAAGAGGCCACAAGAACTCAGAAATGCCTAGGTGTACGGGCAGACAGAAGACCAGAGAGAGCCAATCAGGAAGCAAAAGAAGAATGGAAGAAACTAAGAGGTAATAGATGGGTAAAACAAAGACAGCCCTCCTAGCTACCTAGGGCAGTGGTCGGCAAACTGTGGCTCTCGAGCCACATTAGCTCTTGAGGCACAGTTTGCTGCTCTGTTGACTAATGAGTTTGCAGACTACTGACCTAGACTCCCGATTTCAATAATTACAGGCAGTTGTTCCTTGTGATTAAGCCCTTATCCCAGTGGTTGGCAAACTCATTAGTCATCAGAATGGCAAACCGCGGCTCGTGAGCCACATGTGGCTCGAGAGCTGCAGTTTGCTGACCCTGGAGATAGGGCATATCACTCGATGGAAGGGAGTAGGGCTTCTATTTCTAGATCTTTAGGGACCCTGACCTTGCTGAGGGTTGCAAAAGTGTCACTGTCACTTCTCCAATCTTTCAGGGAACAGAGAAGTGTCTCAAAGGGAAAGAGAACTGCTTGGTAGGTCAACATTTCAATGACGTAGGTGAGTAAAAGAGAAAGAAAATGAGCACAATCTTCCAAGGAGGCCCATCAATGAGAAATCAAAGGTCACCCTGGAGCCTATGCCAAGTGTGGAAGTCAGGCCCCAAGATAACAGAGCCCTGGGGAAGGTGAGTGCCAGACAGGACATGAGCTTCCACCCTGACCCGAGAGGCCTGGAGAGCTGAGCTGGCTGAGAACTTCCAAACTATGCACTGGGAAGAGAAATCATTCTGTTCATTTAATGGGGACAAAGTAATTATGATGTTATTAGTGGCCCGGTGCATGAGATCCAGGTGGGGGGTGGGGAGGGAAGGCCGGCACCCTCTCTAATCTGGGACCCCTCAGGGGATGACTAACAACCGGCAGTCAGGCATCCCTCTCACAATCCGGGACTGCTGGCTCCTAACCACTCACTTGTGTGCCTGCCTGATCGCCCCTAATCACTCTGCCTGCCGGCTTGCTTGCTCCCAACTGCCCCCCGCCTTGCTGGCCTGATCATCCCCAACTACCACACCCTGCCAGCCTGCTTACCCCCAACTGCCCTCCCCTCCTGGCCTGATGGCCCCTAACTGCCTCTGCCTTTCCCCCACCCCCATGGTTTTGTCTGGAAGGACACCCAGAAGGTCTCTGGTCTAATTAGCATATTATCCCTTTATTAGTATAGAAGAGATTTCAGGAAAGTAAACCAAAAAAATCCCTGAGAAACACACTCACGTTTTCACAGGTATGAAATTAAAAGTATGGTCTGTCAGGCCAGTGTGGCTGAATGATTGAGCATTGACTTATTATGAATCAAGGAGGTCATTGTTCAATTCCCGTTCTGGGCACATGTGTAGGTTGCAGCAGGGGGGCGAGCAGGAGGCAGCCAATCAATGATTCTCTCATCACTGATGTCTCTCTCTCTCCCCATCTCCTGTCCTCTCTAAAATCCATAAAAATACATTTTTTAAAGTATGATCTGATGACCCCCACCCTTGTGTCTGTGTTTGAGGGAACAGTTCTGTGTCCATACACACACCTCCCAGGACCTCTGCAATGCTGGCCACAAACTCACCTGCATTTACAACAGGCTGTTCCTGCAAGGCATAGGCTGAGGCCTTCACAAAGGCCGACATGAAGCCCAGCTTGAGGTTATGTTTCTTCAGAAAAGCATCTTTGTGCCGGGCCCTCATCTCCTGGATGTTACTGCAAAAAACACATTACAAAGCAAACTGACTATAAGTGAAGCCTTGATTCTGACTTTCATACTGGTCTCCAACTCCAAGTACACAATTGGGTAAGCTTTTCCCCTTCACTCTGTACCGTAAAGTTCAAGTTTTGAAATAGTCCACTAGAGGTCACACAATAACCTTCCTTGTTCTTTTACTAAAAAAACCTGGATACAAAGGAATCAGGTCCAAGGTTCCTTTAAGGTGCGCTGAGCCCTAGACAGGCTCCTTCAGACTCCTTAAGTCAGAGATTTCAGTGACAAGATAATAGGAACAAGAACTCACACAGCACATCGACATCTTTGCTCTGGATGAGGAAGTGATTTCTAGCTACACTAAAATCATGAGTACGGGGGGAGGGGAGGGGGGTTGTTTTTAAGCATAAAATCCACAAAATAAGCCATATTATTTTTCTTATTATAATCATAAAAAAAAAAAAAACACCAAACCTGATATGGCTTCCTTATGACATGCTTTCTATCTCCTAATTAAGACAAAAGCAAACCAACGAACAAAACCTGCACAGGTGAATGGGCTCCCTGTGAGCAAAAGCAGTCATACAGAAGGTACAACCCAGTGTTCTTTTAAGCTGATGGCAAAGTCAGCAGACTCATTCTTCATCCCCCAGAGTTATCAGCTCCATCACCTGTTCCTTCAACAGGTGCCCCACTACCTGAGAGGGTCAATGCTGGACACAAAGATAATCAAGACACAGCTCTTGCCCTTAAGCGCTGTTCAATGGGTGTGGGTTCCTTGGTATTTAGGAGTGTGGCCATGTGTGAACCTGAGCTTCCCAGTGTGAGCAGCACTGCCTTTGCTCCTTCAGGACCGGGTTTTCTACATATACACCGTGTACATACTGCAGTCAGCGGAAAATGGCTTTCCCATCGCTTTGCTGAAGAAACCCTAGTATTTATCGAAATATTGTTCTGTGATGGAAGTCAAATTTAACTTTATTTCAGGCCCAAATGCTCAGTTCTCCCTTTCTCCCTATAATGGCCTAATTCAACATTAGCATGAAAGATAAGATGATATAACTTTAACTCATCCTTTCAGACCTTTTGTTTTTTAAAAAGGAAGTTTTCCTAGGAGGATTGATTGAGTCTAAATGTTTGTTTTCCTGAGTCTAACCTTATTTAGTGCTAGGATTACCACCCTAAAGACATTACTGGTTCCCAAGACACAAGAGCTGCAGAAGATGGAAAGAGAAGTGATCAACATCTCTGCTCTCAAACCTGCCCCAATGCTATTGTCTGGTCATTAAGTAGTTTCTATTTCAGAGCTCTGTCCTTGGAGGCAGAGGCTGGGACAACAGGGAGAGGAGAAGGTTTCTCAGAAAGGCCCCTTATGGGTTAGCTGATCAGCACAAGACCCAAAGGGCACTCGATCTAAACCAAATTACTGAGGCGAGACCCCAGGCCATCGTTAAGTGACACCTTGATTAGCTGCTAAAAGGAGATCCAACTATTACTCCTACCTCCGAATCAACGCTGTTGAGCCAACTGAATCTTTCAAGGCCACAAATATTTACATGTTTTGTCTTAAGAAATTGGGTAGAATTTCAAAATCCAATTCAATTTGTGCACAATTTGGCCCTAATGCATTGAAACCTAAGCTGCAGACTTTTGTGATTTATTAGTCAAGGTTCTTCCCCACATCCGATGGACAGGAGAGAAATCTCTAGCTTGAATGACATCAATCTTTTTAAGAAGCTTCGCAAGAGAATGGATGATATCTAGTGAAATAGGCCACAGAGCCCTCCTCTGCAAACAATGTACACTGTCAAAAGCCATTCCCTCCGCTACACTTTTCAGATTCCTTCCCAAGGAAAACAAGTTTCCCTAATGAAAAGTAGAGACTAATAAACACTTAGGACCAAAAGAAACAAAGAAATGCCATGAAGACTTGATGACTTACCCCTGAATTAAATATAAACTCGTATCCCTGTTATTCCATTCCTTCTATACACATTCCTCACGCAAATTTCTCAAATGTGTCTTGTGCTGTTCTGTCTGTCAAGTCCACACTGTTAATGTCATCTGGAACAATCTTTCTCCACAATGCTACCTGTGTCAAAATGCTAGTTGTGTCCTGGCCAGTGTGGCTCAGTGCACTGAAGGTCTCGGGTTTGATTCGCATTAAGGACATGTACCTGTGTTACATGTGCTGGAGGCAACCAATTGCAGTGTCTCTTTCTCTCTCTCTGTCTCTTCCTTTTTCTCTCTCCTTCCTCCTTTATTTTTCTCCCTCTCTTCCTCCCATCCACTCTCTCTAAAAATAAATGCGGGAAAATATCCTCAGGTGAAGGTTAACAATTAAAAATAAAAATAAAAATAGTCCTAGCTAGCTTGGCTCAGTGGACAGAGTGTCAGCCAGAGGACTGAAGAGTTGTGGGTTCAATTCCAGTCAAGGCTGCATGACTGGGTTGTGGGCTCTATCCCCAGTTGGGGGCGTGTAGGAGGCAGCCGATCAGTGATTCTCTCTCATCATTGATGTTTCTATCTCTCACTCACCCTTCCTCTCTGAAATCAATAAAAACATATACATTTAAAAAATGCTAGTTCTCTTTTCTCCAGGAAGCCTTTCCTGACCTACCCTCCCTACCTCTGCTGCCACCTCAAAAACAAATATCATCATTCTCTTTTCCACTTCACACTCTTTGCACCCTTCTGATACTTATTTTATGTTTACCCACATTAGACAGTAGACTCTAGAAGGGTAGGGGCTCTTTTCATTCATCTTGTATCTTCCTCAAATACATATAATATCTGATACACAGTAAGTGCTCAAAGTTAGATTTAACTATATTCTCTTCCCTAGAGTGCTAGAACTTATAAACACCAAAGTCTTTTAAGAACATAGGAGAGCCAAAACCAGTTTGGCTCAGTGGTAGAGAGTCGGTCTGCGGACTGAAAGATCCCGGGTTCGATTCCGGTCAAGGGCATGTACCTTGGTTGCGGGTATGTCCCCGGTGGGGGGTGTGCAGGAGGCAGCTGGTCGAGTTTCTCTTTTATCGACATTTCTAGCTCTCTATCTCTCTCCCTTCCTCTCTGTAAAAAAATCAATTAAAAAAATTTAAAAATTTAAAAAAAGAACATAGGAGAGTTAACAATTAGTTTATTACAGAAATGGGTATACAATAATTCCTAATTTGGTATTAACACTGCTAAGTTCTCTGACTTTAAACGATATGACGTATAAAGAAACCATTTTTACCACATGCTAATTAATATAAACAAAAGTTAAGTTCCAACAGCACCTCTTTAATGTTATAATGAAATTATGTTGAATGAAACAACTTTATTCGAGGATCCCAGTGTGCTAATTTGAGCTAGTCCCTTGATTTAGTTAATATTTTGAGGTTTTTCTTTGAAAACAAAACTTGCTTTCCATTTCACTATCAAAGGTGGGAAGGATGAAAGACAATCCAAGCTTATGCCTTGTCACCCACATAGTTCCGAGTCGCTCAGAACTTGGATGAGGCGCAGTCTCTGTGAGGGTGGGATACTCTGGCTCTGGCCACTGTCAAGTGGTTCTCCATCCCAATGGGTAGGTCTCGGCATAAGCCTTCCTGGCCTGGATGCCCTACCTTTACTTGGCAACTCACTACTAGTCATCAGAGTTTAAGAATATTATCAGTCTCATTTATCAGAAATCATAAGTTTTAAGTATAAAGGTCTGAAAAGCTAAGTTTTTTAAAAATATATTTTATTGATTTCAGAGAGGAAGTGAGAGGGAGAAATGGAAACATCGATGAGAGAGAATCACTGATTGGCTGCCTCCCGCATGTCCCCTGCTGGGGACCAAGCCCACAACCCAGGCATGTAGCCCTGACCTGCCCTTCAGTCCGCAGGCCGATATGCTCTATCCTCTGAGCCAAACCGATTAGGGCTGAAAAGCTAAGTTTTTTAGGTCACAGAGGAGACAGGCACAGTATTAGCAGTTAACGAGAGAATGACACCAGTGCGTCACTCTGTAAAAGTCAACAAGCAATACAAAGCAGGAAGTACCTCTTCCCCGCTCAGTCGGTTTTGGAATTAACACTAAGTGGGAACTGAGGCAAGTTCAAGTGTCTTCCAAGAACAGGGGTATGGAAATAAGTGGAACAGAGCTCTCACCTCATGTCAATCTCATTGAAAGTTGTCAGCATTGCACATGTATTCTGGGCCTCCTTCAGACGCTGAGCAATGCGTAGCCGCATCCTGTTCATTTTCTCCTGAAAGAGAAAGTGGGACCAAGTATTGACAACCTGGGTCTCTTTGGACCACGCACTCCCCATTTGGTCTGTGGGAGTAGATGGCCAGGACTATTGATAGCTAAGTACAATGAGAGGGCCAGCATTCCTCTTCCCTGTGGCCTTGCTCCTCTGAGCAAGAACAAGGAAACATAGACAAAAACTACTCTTTCAGACTCACTCTAAGTTTGACCAAAAATGGAGGCCCAGGAAATGGTTTGATTTAAAAACAAAACCAGTGTATAGAAAAGAAAGGAAGAGTGTGGTGTAGAGCTAGTCAGCTAAGGGATCACTACAGATAAGGCAATTTCTAGTGTTAAAGACTTGCATGAGAATAGCTACTTGTGGAATGGAAACTCTGAAGCAATAAACTTTTGAGGCTAAAGTATTTTTAGGAGGCTTTCTCTCAGGCAGAGAAACCCACACTCTTGACCATACTTCCTTGAGGTTTATGTCTGTCCCTGATAGCTACTGCTACTGTGAGGCCTCAGTAGGTATCCCGGAAGTACAGGGATAGAGCTCACTAAACCACCTCTCTGAAGTGTGCTGATGCACTCTTCCCTCCCACGATACTAAGCTACCATCCCTGCAAACAGTTTACTCACCCAAGACAATTCAGTGGTAGCACAACATACTAGGAAAAACCACTGGACAAGTGTTCACTCAGGTCCTAGTCCTATCATTTGACAGTCCATGACTATGAACAAGTCACTTCCCAAACTCAGTTTCCCTGTCAAGGTCAAGAGAATAAGCAGCCAGCCAATCAAATGCAGGCACCACCATGCCCACACTCCACTAATCTCAACTGCCCCTCTGCCTCGGGCTTACCCGATGTTCTGAACGCAGACCTTTAACAGCTCCTGGCTCAGCTCCTGGACGAGCAGCAGAGGGTTTTACCGCAGACACTAAAAACAAAGTGGGGGGCAGCTGCATCAGAAAATGAAACATACCCACTTTCATATCCACTTATGAAGGTACCAGTGCTTTCATACTGTAGTCAATCGTCAAGACATTCTGGGATAGCTCTGGCCCATTAGGCTCAGTGGATAGAGACTGAAGGGTCCCAGTTTCAACTCTGGTCAAGAGCACATGCCCGGGTTGCAGGCTCAGTCCCCAGAGGGGGGTGTGCAGGAGGCAGCCAATCAATGATTTTCTCTTGCCCTCTCCCTTCCTCTCTGAAATCAATATATATATATATATATATATATATATATATATATATATATATATATATATATTTTAAAGATATTCTGGGGTAGCCCTAGCCAGTGTTGCTAATTGGTTAGAGCGTCAGGCTATGCACCAACAAGTCACAGGTTTGATTCCCAAGCAAGGGCTCTTACCTGGGTTACAGGTTCAATCCCCAGCCCCGATTGGGGCGCATGCCGTAGGCAACTAATTGCTGTGTGTCTCTCTCATTGCTGTTTCTCCCCTTTCCTCACTCCCTCTCTCTCTCTTAAAAAAGAAAAAAAAAATCACTGAAAAAAATTTTCCTGGGGTGAAGATTAACAAAACAAAACAAGATATTCTGAGGTATATTGGAATCATTCCCACTTCACAAATGAACAATTTGCTCAGAGCAGTTAAGTAGCCAAAGTCACACAGCTGTAAACAGAAAGCTGGGATGCAAACCCAGGTGTTCTGATACAAAGTCTACAGTTCTTTCTACAAAATAGGCAACAGAGCTGTTCAGAGGCATGATTAGTCCCGGACTTTGCTCTGTGAGAAAACATTACGTTAGGTGAGATTGTTCTTCTCCCACATAAAGATACGTAGGAGCCCTGCCGGTGTGTCTCAGTGAATGAGCTTCGACCCAGCAGGTCATGGTTCGATTCCCAGTCAGGACACATGCCCAGGTTTCGGACTCTATCCCTAGTAGGGGGCATGCAGGAAACAGCCGATCAATGATTCTCTTTCATCATTGATGTTTCTATTTCTCTCCTCCTTACCTTCCTCTCTGAAGTCAGTAAAAATATATATTAAAAAAAAAAAAAAAAAAGCAAAACACATGGGAGTGAAGGCTTACCTGGTTTGCTAGCAGAGGGCTGTGCGGGGGAGGGCACCGGTGGCATCTGAGTGGGTATGGATGCTGCAGGGGGAGGGGGAACTGCCGCTGCTACTGGTTCTGCCTTTGGGGCTTCAGCAGCAGGGGCTTCAGCTGGCTTGGCCTTAGCAGGAGCAGCTGGAAAACAAAGGAAATAGATGCCACTGTCTGGAATGGAAGTAACCAAATCACCGATAGGTAGAATTTAGCAGCAAAATCTCTATCTCCAATCAATTAACAAATGCTTACTAGATATTCGCTATATATGCAAGGCACTATAAGATGCACACATGATATAAGTCATTCTTCTATTCTCCAGGGCTCCTATCCTACATAAGACTAACTGAATGCAACGTTCTCCCTAATTTCATAAATATCTACTGATCATCACATGTGGAAGAATATAGTTAACTATAAAAAAAAAAAAGTTTAAATAATCAAGTGTTCATTTAGACTTAAGAGTTCAAAGCATTTCATTTGGATAATGCTTAAAAGACAATGAGATGGTCAAGTAATAAATTCACAAGGTTAAATTAGATGTTTATTTTTATCTTACCCATTGGGATATTATATTTGTTTTTACATTTAATTTAGAACTTCTCAAACCTCAGAGGGAAGGTAGGGGAGGGTGGGGGTAAAGGGGGAGAGATCAACCAAAGGACTTGCGTGCATGTATATAAGACTAACCCGTGGTCACAGACTACAGGGGGGTGGAGGCATATGTGGGGAGGGGTTTGGGGTGGGAATGGGAGGATAAAGACAATTATGTATACCATAATCAATTTTTTAAAAAGAACTATTTTTTAAAGGATTAAAAGATCAAAAAATGAAATTCTTCAACTGAAAAGTCAATCTTCTTCACTAGCCTTCTGCTGCATTCTTTCCATTCTGGGCTTCTATACTGCCCTGACCAATCTCAATGATGCGATCTACCATCTCTCTACTATATATTTTAACAATGAGAAACTCTAGTATATAGCATTTAACTGAGAATTAAGGGGAAAAGTTATTGTCTGTTCAATTCTCTAATACTGACTGTAAAGTCCAGTACAAATTCATTTGCTTATTTCTCATTTATTCCCCAAGAGAAATACCAATCCTCCCTGCAAATGTTATGGGAACAGATGTACAGATATTACACTGAATTCTCCATAACAAACACCAGGAAACATTGCTTTTTCTCACTTCTCACTTTAGAACAGTAGCTCTCAGCTCTGGCTGTGTATTAAAATCTGTTGGAGAGCATTAAAAACCACACACATACCCTAACTGGTTTGGCTTGGTGGATAGAATGTTAGCCTATGGACTGAAGGGTCCCAGGTTTGATTCCAGTGAAGGGCATGTACCCTGGATGTGGGCATATCCCCAGGAGAAGGTGTGCAGGAGGCAGCTGATCGATGTTTTTCTCTCATCGATGTTTCTAACTCTCTACCTCTCTCCCTTCCTCTAAAAAAAAAATCAATAAAATATATTTTAAAAAACATCACACACACAAGAAAAACATGACAGATAACCAAGATTTTGTACTCCCAGATTAAATATATCAGAATCCCTTGTCCATGGAGTCTAGGCATTTGTATTGTTTTTAAAACCTCCACGTGGCCGAAGCCGGTTTGGCTCAGTGGTAGAGCGGCGGTCTGCGGACTGAAAGGTCCCAGGTTCGATTCCGGTCAAGGGCATGTACATTGGTTGCAGGCACATCCCCAGTAGGGGGTGTGCAAGAGGCAGCTGGTTGATGTTTCTCTCTCATCGCCGTTTCTAGCTCTCTATCCCTCTTCCTTCCTCTCTGTGAAAAATCAATAAAATATATTAAAAAAACACAAAAAAACAAAAACAAAACAAAAAAACCTCCATGTGATTCTGATGCCAGGGTGGGGAGGGGGGAAAAAATCGCTGTCTTTAGAACTTCCTTGATTTCTATCATATTTTAAAGAAAAGGTCCAGCATAAGAAACATGCATGGAAAGGACAGACACTATGAGGTTTGTTTACTTATTTAAAAACATTTTTTATGCCCTGACTGGTTTGGCTCAGTGGATAGAGCGTAGGCCTGCAGACTGAAAGGTCCCGGGTTCGATTCCAATCAAGGGCAAATGTCTGAGTTGCCGGCTCAATCCCCAATGGAAGGCATGTAGAAGGCAGCCAATCAATGATTCTCCCTCATCATTGATGTTTCTGTCTCTCTCTCCCTCTCCCTTCTTCTTTGAAATAAAAAAATAAAATAGGAGAACTTCTTTACCGCCAGTTTTCCTGAGTGTGAAAAGAGGAGTGCCTCCTTCTACTTTTCCCCCATCAGGTACCAAAAGAGATTCAATAACGCCATTTGCTGGTGATGGAACCTGCACAGATGTCTGGAAAAGGAAAACAGATGGAGAAAAAGTCCAAATTTTTACTCAGCATTAGAAAATTGTACAGAATCTCAAATATGAGTTACAAAAGTTGCAACACAGATATACAAGACCACGCATAAAAAAATGCCAACGCAACACTTTTAGGATGAGAGTATGACAAGTCAATGTTATTGTGAAGATTCACTCTTTGCTCATTCTGTCCTTTCTCAGAAACATTCAGTTTATAAGTTTCCAGGTGATACTTGAAAAATAAGTGGCAACAAATTGTGCAGGCTTTACACACAGGCACAAGAGCTACAAAACTATTACTAAAGTATAGAGTGCATGCACCTAGAACAGCAATTTTCAACCCCCTATGCTGAAGCACACTGGTGTGCCCCACAAATTTTTAAAACATGCAAAACCTGACTATTTAGTCAGGGGCACTGACCTCTTTTCCCTTAAATTTTCAAATTTTAAAAAATGACAACAGACAACACAACAGCAATCATCCAGTGTGAATGAATAAAACTATACCTTTTTTTTTTTTTGTCAGAGTGGCAAAAATATAATACATTTTTTTGATGTGCCACAGCATTATAGTAATTAGTTTATGTGTGTTGTGAGATAGAAAAGATTTAAAATCATTGACCTAGAACAATCTAAAATTAAACTTTTTTTTCCTTTTTAATGAACTTTTCCAACATTTTTACAACTGTGCGTTGAGCCAGTTAAAGATGATCTTTAAACAACAGTGAAAGCCCTGTTTCTTTCATTAAAGAAACGAAGGAGAGACCATAAAAAAAATTGGCACTAACACAGGACGAGCCTACCTTGTCGGTTTCAATCTCACAAACCACTTCATCTTCTGCAACTGCGTCTCCAACAGCTGGAAAACAGTCAAAGGCCACCGGTCAGGAAGGGCTCCAGTGGCCACCAAACACCCTTTCACAGATGTAAGACCCCTTTCCTACAGGCCAGGGTAAAGTAGGCCACACTAAAGAAAAGGGTGGAGCCAGAGGTTCTACTGATTATCACTGAGGGTGGGAGGATAAGAAACGACTTTTAGAAAGTATTTAAACTTAAGTGAGAGGGCACTAATCTTACCTTTCTCCCACCTGACATCCCCTTCTGTGACAGATTCTGCAAATGCTGGGGTTTTTACTGTAATCACATCATCCTCTAGAAAAAGAGCAAAAAAAAAAGGAAATCACACATAATCCATATATTTTTTCTTCAATTAAACTCAATTGTTCTTTTTCCATTAAAACTCCATTCCCAAGAAGACAGGGCGCTGAAGGCAGGTACTTACTGCACACAGCCGTAGTTCTGAAGAAGCGAACACTGAAGACACTACTATTGCTAACGCTAGAAAAGAAACAAAAGTAAACTCCTTTGGCAAGTGAACCACTCACATTGTAGGCACCGGGGATCACCTTCCCTTTAAACCAATGATTCTTGACCCACGGTGCCCTCAGTGTCACCTAGGGGAACTTGACCTGGCCCCATCCCGAGTCTTACTTGGCAGGTCTAGAGCAGAGCCTGGATTGGAAGCCTTGAGGGCCCTAAGTATAATAGTAAGCTCATTGTGTGAGTCCAGGACCCTATTGTGCAGTGAAATTCTCTCTCAAAACAGACTTACATTTGGTTCTTTGAAGAAAAAGATAAGTATCTTGGTCCTTTTCACACTCACCAGAAGGACTTATCTTTCTGTTCAGGTTTTTTCCCCTTAACCAAATCCGAGTAAAAGCAATTGCATGCTCCTGTGATACTGCCTTTGTGCCAAACATAACAGAATTTCTGTCCATAGGATTACAGATTTAGATTAAAGCAGCTAGATGAGACAGTTAGCTTGGAAGTAAAATAATAACGTTATTCCCCCATGCACAAAACACAAACACACACACACACACACACACACACACACACACACACAAAACAACCCTCATATAGTATCTCTTCATATGGACTCATTAAAGAGAACCTCAGAAGACAAAGGTATTTCTTGATATGGCACTAACTTTAAATAATGTAAACCAGAGAACACTAACACCTTGTATGCCAGAAAGTGGTAACAGTGGTTACCTCTGGAGTGGGAGGCGTAGATATACGTGCATGGTATCTATGGTTATCTGTCACAAACATACACATTTTGGCACAGTGCGTCAGACTGATGGGGACTTTCACTTTGTGCATTTCAGGACTGTTTGACTGTTCTATACCAAGCACCTTTGTAATAGGAAAGTAAAAAGGATTTAAGTTGCCTTTTGATATTTTTAACCTTTATAAAGTCAAAATAAAATCTATGTTGAACCAAGGAGAAAAAAATGTAAGTTATAACAAAATACAGACCACAAAGTGCTCTGTATACAGTTTATAACCATGTATAAGTACATGATCATGGGCAAGAGCCAATGGGCAATGCAGAGACTGCTCTGTGAGGACATCCGAGAACCTGGAGCACTGGCTGTCTCTGGGAAAAGGAAGACGGTGGTGCTGGGGGACAGGAATAAAGTCTTCTCGGAGATACTGTTTGCTTTTGAACCATGTACATATATAACCTATTAAATAAAAATATAAAGCCAAAAACAGTTTCACAATAAAAGATTTTTAAAATAAAGTAGGTAGCCCAGCCGGCATGGCCATGGTTGAGCACTGGCCTATGAACTGGGAAGTCATGGTTCGATTCCCAGTTGGGGCATACGACTAGGTTGCGGGCTCAGTCCCCGGTTTGGGGCATGTAGGAGGCAGCCCATTCGAGATACTCATCATTGATGTTTCTCTCTCTCCCTCTCTCTCTCCCTTCCTCTCTGAAATCAATAAAAATATATATTTTAAATAAAGTGGGTAGCTTTTTCACAGAAAAAAACACACAACACAGCCTAGCCAGCATGGCTCAGTGGTTGAAGGTAAACCTATGAACCAGAAAGTCATGATTAGATTCCCAGTTGGGGCACATGCCTGGGTTGTGGGCTCAATCCCCAGTGTGGGGCGGGCAGGAGGCAGCCAATCAACGATTCTCCATCATCATCATCATCATCATCATCATCGATGTTTCTCTCTCTCTCTCTCTCTCTCTCTCTCTCTCTCTCTCTCTCTCTCTCTCTCTCTCTCTCTCTCTCCCCTCCCCCCCCCTTCCTCTCTGCAATAAATAAAAATTTATTTTTTAAATACACAAAAGTTATTAGATTTGGATGATAGCCTAATCTAATGTGTAATCTAATCCCTCAAATTTTATGGTTTTAAAAATAATTTACTTTCAAATAGTTATTTGTTGTATTTATTGCATATAGGTTTGTGGTTGCTCCAATTTTCATAGAAATTGCAGATGAGTAGCACATTTTGAATCTAAGTAATTTTTTCAATTATAAAAGTATTACACATTCACTATAGAATATTTGGAAATAGCAAAAAGAACATTTACAATGAAATTATACCAGACAGCAGAAAATGGAATCATTTTATAAACTGCTCTCCCCATCCCCCCACTTATCATGGAACATACTTAACCAATCTCTACTGTTTGGCCATTTGAGAGAAATCTGGGTATACCAGGATTTCTTTAGTATAGATTCCTAGAAATAGAATTGCTAGATCAAAAGGTAGACACAGTTCAAAGACTTACGAATGCCAAATTGCCATCTAAAAATAACACATTTTATTTTTAAAAATCCCATTGAGATGCACAGTGAAGAAGGAGCTAATCTGCTGACCCTTCATTTTGAAGATTTTCCCTGCAGTGAAAGTCGCTTGACAGCTGTTTACTAGGTAACTAGAGAGCATCTTCTTACCACCACCTTGAAAATACTTGGAAGGGAAAGTAACATTAAGCAACATTCATAAGCAGACGTTAACCTGAAACACACATGGGTGGCCTTTGTCCAACTTTGCATTATGCAATAACTCCCCCTCCAAACTAGTCAAAGTCCCAGGACTCAACAGACTAGACTTTTGCTTTTACTGTTTCTAAAATAAATAACTATGCTACATCAAGAGGATACTCTCAATCGCCACAGTAAATGTAAGCTCCAGCCCTTGAGCTGCACTTGTATCCAACCAGAATACTATTTAGGAGCACCTTTCTATATCCATTAGCCATAAAAAGAGGATTCCAACTCCAGTTTCATCATAATCTAAACACCTTAAGACAGGCACACTCCTGGTCCGGCACTTGACGTGGGGCTGAAGCTCAGGAGTGTGCCTGTCCTAAGGTGTTTAGATTACACATCATACATTAACAGCAAGGCTAAGTCTAGGGACTCAACATGGTTATAGATTCTAGCCCTGGAAGCCACTGAAGAAAGCAAATGGTCAAATTTGTAAGTGATATCTTACGTGCCCTATGGCCACATAACTGTACTCCCTGGTGATACTTACGCGATTGTCCTCCTATCAGGGTAACCAGGTCCCTGACATAAGGAGACCCCTGCAAGAAACAAAACAACTCTTAACAACAACTCTTTTCTTATACAGGATACCTGCTGGGAATGAAAAAGAAGTCCGTTCACCCTCTAACTCTGAGAAAGAGTAGTACCAACCATAAGCAACAATATAATCTTTATCACACAGAGACCTGATTCTCAAACTTTTCCACCCAAGTAACTATAATAGCAGAGAGCAGCAGGCGTATGGGGTTGAGAATGGGTATGTGCTGAGGAGGTAAGGGGAGAATTCTAAGGGCATAGCCTGAAGTAGTTTTATCTTATTTACCTTAAATCTGTAAGTTTTTATTATCCCTATTATGTTTTCCGAATCAGTTGTCTCTACTCCCCAAGTCTTCAAATACAATTGAAGCTTGAGAAAAGACACATAGTGGCTTATCCCGTAATCACACACAGCCTAATCTGAGCAGCAGTGGGAATGTTTGGTCTGGGTTTCTGTTTCCCTGGTTATTTAAAATGCACTGAGCTGGAAGTCCTATTGCCTAAACCTCGTACAATGGTCGGCAAACTCATTCATTAGTCAACAGAGCTGCATGTGGCTCGAGAGCCGCAGTTTGCCGACCACATGTAACAGGTGGAAGTCCCTTTCTGCTCCCCTATCCTTCTCACAGGTCATTGCATTTCCCCAGCTGATAACTAAGTATTATAGCTGCCTCACCTGAATGTGTTCTTTCATTTTCCCATTCTATTAACAATCTGAACCAGGATTTGGGAGACACCAAGTGAGAGATATCTCTCTTGTGCCCACCTCTGCATAAACTTCCCCTGGGTTTCAGAGTCAATAAGTCACATATGTCCATAGCCGATGACTCTGCAGCACAAATCCCAGTATAATAGCATGTTTTGAGCTAGGACAGCCAGCAGCCCATGCTGATTTCTAGAACCCTGAATCCGATTCAAAGTTCAGCCTACAGCAAGTTTCACTTGTAAGGTTTATAAAAAGCTTTCACATAATGACCTCATTTGATTTTCCAGTCTCACCATCAGGAAGCAGAACCTCCATCTGCCACTATTCCCATTTTATAAGGAGGGCTTCCGGAGGTGAAGTTGCTAGCCCCAAGGTAAAGCCCTAAGCCACAATGCAAAACCCAAGTCCAAGGCTCTTTCCAGCCAGACGTGTTTCCTTAACATCTGTGACTAGTCAAGTCTCTTTCTGCCTGAAAACCTTTGCACAAGCAATTCATTTTACCTGGAATATAGTTCTCTTGGATAACTCTATGTGCTCTTCAAGGCTTGGCTTAAATGTTACTTCTTTGGAAAAGCTTTAACTAACATTCCCACAGCGCTGACCATTATCCCACCCTCTCATTACACCCTGCACTTCCCTTTTACAAAGTACATCTTTATGGATGCATAAATGTAAAAAGGCTGTTTCTCCAGCTAGCACATAAAATCTCTATTTCATCACCTAGAACATTAGTAAGAACTCAAATAACCTATTGAGTACATGAAGAATCAGGGTTGACCAATAGTAGACCGAGTGACCTTGGTCAAAGCATTTAACCTCTTAGCTTTGGGTTCTACATTTATAAAGTAGAGAGAATACGTCTAGTACTGTTTCTTAATGATTAACTGAACAACGCACAGAAAGCACTCAGAACACTGCTTGGCACACTGAAAGCCCACAACAAGATCGACTCATTCAACAAATACTTATTCCAGGAATATAAACAATTATTGGGATAAAATCTAAGTTCCTTCCAGTAGTCTCTACCCCATACCATCTTCTATCGCATGCCACTTTCTCCCTTAACCAAAATGCTCATATATATGAATGACTTGGCCGGAGCATTTTTTTTTTTTCATTCTTCCTCCCCAGTTCTCAAGCACTGCTAAGCTCTTTCCTTCCTCAGGGACTTCGTACATGCTATTCCCTTCCCTTCTCCTCCTCTTCACGGGGCTGGTTTCTGTCACGGCCTCTGGGTAACAGCTTTAATACCACCTATTAAAGAGGACTCTTGCCCGGCCTAGCATTGGCCTGCGGACTAAAGGGTCCTGGGTTCGATTCGGGTCAAGGGCACATGCCCAGGTTGCGGGCTCGATCCAATAAGGGGCTTACAGGAGGCAGCCACTCTCTCTCTCTCCCTCTCCCTGCCTCTCTGAAATCAATTATATATATATATATATATATATATATATATATATATATATATATATATATTTTTTTTTTTTTTTTTTTTTTTTTTTTTTTAAACAGGACTCTTCTGTCCACCTTCATTTGCTTAGCAATTCACACTTTCTTTTCCCACCAGACTGTAAGCTCCAGGCAGGCAAGAAGTTTCAACTGCTGTATCCCAAGAGAGGGCCTGGCTAGCGTCTGACACCCAGTAGAAACTTAGTAACTATGTACTAACTAAATGAATAATCAGGCCGGCGAGTCGCCAATGATTAAATGAATAAATGACAGCTGTCGTTACTCAGTAGCATTTGGTTGCACTCCTATCTCTCTGAACATTATGCGGAGACACTCGGGCACCCCGATTTCCCCACATCCTCCTCTGCCCAGGAGAGCATGTTTAGGCGACGGCAAGGGCAGAACTTACCAGGCAGGGAACGTCTCCCTAGAGGGCAGTTCCCCTGTTGAGAAAGAAGACATCACCGGCGTCACCCAAGATGAAAGGAGGGGAGAAACAGCTTTTTCTCTTAGCAAAGACCCCAAGCGCTGCAGGTGCCGGTGACAGTTGAATCTCGTGACTCCCAGGGGGACATGCAACAGCCCCGGCTCCCGGGTCTCGGTCAGCACACGGGGCCAGCCCCGCACCTCCACTTCCCGGCGGGAGGGGAGACCCCTTGACTTGAACGGGAGAGAAGGACAGGCCCCAGGATCCCGCCGACGACTCGCGGCGGCGCCTCCCAAACTCCTGAGTCTCCCCCGGCCGGGGCGGGCGCGGCTCTGGACCCCTCCTCAGCCCGGCCGGGGGGTGGGGGACGGCAGGGGCCGGTGCGCCGCTGCCTCGGGAAGCCGAGGGGCCCCGGGCTCCGCCAGACGACCCCGGGCCACCCAGCCCGCGGCCTCCGCGTCCCAGTGCCCTTGGTGCCCGGCCTGGCCGGCGCGCCCGCCCCTGCCCCCCCGGCAGCCCGCCAGCCCCCCGGCCGGGTTCGCCCCCGCCGCGGCCCCGCCCCGGGGGGACCCTACCTTCTGGAAGGCGGAGAGCGAGCGGCTGAACGCCCGGGACACGCAACGGGACCGGGACAGCATCGCGGCGGCGGCGGTAGTGGCGGCGGAGCGGAGGGCGGGCGGACACCGGATATAGGGCCCGGCAGCCACCGGAAGCGGGGCGGGCCGCGGCACCGCGCGGGGAGGGGTGCGCGGGACGAACCACTGGGCGGCGGGGGCCGCGGCGCGGAGCGGCCCGAGTGACCGCCGGGTGACCCAGCTGTGGGCGAGGGGGGCCGCGGCGCTGCCCGCCGGCCTGGCCGGTCCTCCCTCCCGAGGGCGCCTGCGACGGCCCGGCGGCCGGGTCGTCCTCGAGGCCCCGCACCTCCCGGCCTCCCCGCAGAGCTGGCTCGGAGCGGGGCGCCCTGCTCCGCCGGGGCCGGGGCCGCCGCGCCCCCCTCCTCCGCGAGACCGCCCGGCGAAGAGCAGGAGGCGGGCACGGACTTTGAACTTGGGCCTTGGCCTGCTCGTACACTTGTTTGGCCTTGGGCAGGTGACATGGCCTCCCTGAGCCTTGGGTTCCTCAACTATAATTTAAAAAGCAATAGCCGGGCCCTGGTCGGTTTGGCTGAATGGATGGAGGAGCATCAGCCTGCGGACTGAAAGGTCCCAAGTTCGGTTCCGGTCAAGGGCACATGCCTGGGTTGTGGGCTTGATCCCCAGTAGGGGGCGTGCAGGAGGCAGCCGATCAATGATTCTCTCTCATCATTGATGTTTCTCTCCCCCTCTCTCTTCCTCTTTCAAATCAATAAAAATATTTTTTTAAAAAAAGCAATAGCCAGCTTCCTGCCTCCCTAAGTCTGGAGCAAAGAAGCAGAACTCCCAAAGAACCTCCCATGGCCCTTCACCGAGATCTTCACCGAGAAGCCTTACTTCTGCAGCAGCATCTCCCATCTCCCCTGCTCCCTGCTCAGCTCTCTCCAGCCAGGCCGATGGCTCTCACACACCCTGTGCTTTTGGGAGGCTGTTCGTTTGTGTCTCTGCCCCCAGAATAGAAACTCCGTGTGTTGTTCAATGCTGAATCCCCAGCGCTTAGAACAGAGATTGGCAGTGGGGTGTGCAATAAGTATTTTTCGGCTAAATTTGGGCCTCGGGGCTTTGGGCAGCGTAGACCATTCTGCCCTTATCTTCAAAGTGAAAGCACATAGTACCCGCTTTTCTTCTTTAGTGTCCTAGCTCGCCTTCCTCATAGTAAAGGTTTTCTGAAAGGTTCTGACTAGATGAAGGACGGATGAATGAGGGAGCCATTTGGTTATCGTTCATACTGGTTTCTTCAGGTGAGTCGTCTTGCTGGGTCCTCAGGACCTTTTCGGTGCCTTCACTCATCCAAACTCTGAAAGCACTTCCTCTGGAACTCTGGAGGGATGGGCAGAAGCCCTAACGAGAAACAGGAAGCACATCCTTGCCCTCCTACTGCCCCTGATCAAGTCCTCAGCATCCTTCACCTGGCTTATTACTTTCTTTTTATTGTTGACAGTGTTACACATGTCCCCATTTTCCCCTTTTGTCCCCCTCCACCCAGACCCCACCCCATCTGATTTATTTTTTAAGTTTCCTAATTTTCCTTGGGCCTCCATTCTTTTTTGTTTTTTAAATATATTTGTTGTTTTTAATTTGAGAGAGAGAGGAAGGAAGAGGGAGACAGAAACATCAATGATGAGAGAGAATCCTCAATTGGCTGCCTCTTGCTGGAGACCAAGTCTGTGCCCTGACTGGGAATCAAGTCAGCGACCTCTTGGTGCACAGGACGGTGCTCCACCACTGAGCCACACAACCTCTGAGCCACACCGGGCAGGCACCACTCACGTTCTCTATCCTCCACACCTGTGTCAAAGATTCAAATCTAATCCTGTCACTCCCCTAGTTAATCCTTTGGATTGCTTCTGCCCATTGGCAGGATAAAGTTCAAACTCCTCAGCCTGACCAGGCACCTGGCCTCTGGCTACATTGTGATAGTCCAACCCACGCTACCCAGCATAGCCACAAAGTCTTCTCACTCCTTCAAGCGTTTGTGTGGGTTGTTGTCTTATTTACCTAGGACTCCTAATCCTAGGTAAATAAGAGAACGCAATTTAAAATCCCTTCCTAATCCCTTTGGGCAGAGTTAACATAACTTCCCTGTGCTTGCAAAGCATTGTGTCTGTATCTCTACGGTGCTTTGTAAGGTCCTATTTACCTGCCTGTCTCCTCTCCTGGGCAGAGTAGCAGGAGGAAAGAGATGTTCCAATGCCTCGTTTTATCGCACTTCACTTTATTGTAGTTTACTATGTTTCCATTTTTACAAACTGAAGGCCAGGTCTTTCACTGGCAAAAAGATTACAACTTGCTTTATTGCGGTACTCACTTTATTGCAGTGGTCTGGAACGGAACCTGGAACATCTCTGAGGTACGCCTGAGTTTTCCTCTATCCTCTGCACGGAACATACTGCCTGGTCCTCTTTAGGTACTTAATCAATACCAGTAGGATGACTACATACTGCTGGATGCAGCTAAAGAATCCAAGAACAGTAATTAGAACTATGGCAATCCCTTGTAAGGGTAGCTGTTAATATTTTTCAGATGGCTACCTAATTTTTTATTTATTTTTAATTCATCTCTATTGTTAAAAGTCTTATAGATGTCCCCATTGACCCTCCTCCTGCTCACTCCCTTCCCCCTCCCAGATTGTTTTAGTTTTGTTGTTGTTGTTTTTAATATATTTTGTTGATTTTTTTTTTTTTTTTTTACAGAGAGGAAGGAAGAGGGATAGAGAGTTAGAAACATCAATGAGAGAAACACCGATCAGCTGCCTCCTGCACACCCCTCACTGGAGAAGCACCTACAACCAAGGTACATGCCCCTGACATGAATCGAACCTGGGACCCTTCAGTCCACAGGCCAACGCTCTATCCACTAAGCCAAACCAGTTAGGGCTGTTTTAGTTTTAAATGATCAATTTTTGAGATTATTTTTAAAATAGCCGAAACCGGTTTGGCTCAATGGATAGAGCGTCGGCTTGGGGACTAAAGGGTCCCGGGTTCGATTCCGGTCAAGGGCATGTACCTTGGTTGCGGGCATATCCCCAGTAGGGGGTGTGCAAGAGGCAGCTGATCGATGACCCTCTCATCAATGTTTCTAACTTCTCTATCTCTCTCCCTTCCTCTCTGTACAAAATCAATAAAAAATGTTAAATAAATAAATAAATAAAAATATATTTTGTTAATTTTTTACAGAGAAGAAAGGAGAGGAATAGAGAGCTAGAAACATCAATGAGAGAGAAACATCGACCAGCTGCCTCTTGCACACCCCTTAACAGGGATGTGCCTGCAACCAAGATACATGCCCTTGACTGGAATCGAACCTGGGACCTTTCAGTCCTCAGGCTGAGGCTCTATCCACTGAGCCAAACCAGTTTCAGCAATTTTTGAGATTCTTATCTAAGGGTTATAAGTACATGCCTGAATCAAGTGGCAAAGCATTTATTCTGGAATTTCAGTGATCACCCAGGTTAACCTTAGATGTTACAGTCATAACCACCACACACACACACACACACACGCACACACACCATAGTCTGCAAAGTCCCTCTCAAAGGATAAAGGTTGAGTTGATTTCCTTGAGATTTGCCTATGAACTTCCCTAGAGTCCAAGGTCCAACTCAATAGACTTCCACCCTCTTCTGTGTTTAGAGCCTCCCAAGACACAGCAGCGTCGACTGGGACAGGAGTTTATGAACGTAAGCTGTGGCAGGGTTCAAAAGATAATGTTTAAAAATGTATTGTAGCCAAAACCGGTTTGGCTCAGTGGATAGAGCATTGTCCTGCAGACTGAAAGGTCCCAGGTTCGATTCTGGTCAAGGGCATGTACCTTGGTTGCGGGCACATCCCCAGTAGGGGGTGTGTAAGAGGCAGCTGATCAATGTTTCTAACTCTATCCCTTTCTCTTCCTCTCTGTAAAAAAATTAATAAAATATATATATATTTTTAAAATGTATTGTAAAATATTCATTCAAAAGAGTGTATAAATACATGTGTATGGTTTAAAGAAAAATAATGAAGCATAAGGAACGGGAAAGCCCTGTGTGGTCCTCCTTGCTGATCCTCCCGAAGTTTACCGCTGCTATGCTAAATTGTGTTTTAATCACCCCCTCACTTTGTAGCTTCAATATGCACGTGTCCTAAACTGTACTCAGTTTTGCTGCTTTTTTCAATTGATGAAAAGACGTGTGTACGTTCAAATTATGTAAGAAAAATGCTTGTTTCTAGGAAGGTTAATAATGGCTCTGTTAATGAAAAACACCACAGAGCAGCAGGTGGTCTTAAATGATACACACAGCACCCTGGGTGGGGTTGCTCAGTGGTTAGAGCATCATCCCATGCACCAAAGGATCATGGGCTTGATGCCCAATCAGGGCACATACCCAGATTGTAGGTTTGATCCCCAGTGAGGGCATGTATGGGAGGCAACCCATACGTTTCTCTTTCACTTCAATGTTTCTCTCCCTCTCCTTTCTCTCTCTAGACTCAGTGAAAAACATATCCTTAGGAGAAGATTTAAAACGCACACACACACACACACACACACACACACACACACACACAGCATTCTTTTCCCCTACCTGAAATCCCACAGTGTTCGTGTGTGTGGTCTGAACTCACACCCTCATTTACATATTTGTGAACATTATTGACCAATGGCAGATGGGGCTATTGCCTATCCTTCCACTTCTGGGCTCCATAAACAGAGATGATCTGCTTCATATGATGCATGACATGTAGATTCCATCTATCTCTCCATTCAGTTTTAAATTAAAATGAATGAATAGGTGAATACTCAGTGAAGACCTAGACATTGTTTGGCCTGTTTTAAAATGTAACATAAATGGAGTCTCAGTGCCTGTATCATTCATTCTGTGACCTTCTTCTTTCACCCAACATTATATTTCGAGGATTTACCCATGTCAAGTTGAGCTGTAGTTCATTGGTTTTGATTGCCGTATTTCAGACACTCACTCCACTTCCCAACCCGAAGGAGGAGGAGATGGCAAAATTCAAGTGATGTTC